TCCAGTTCAGCAGGAAACAGACTAGTCACGACCTCCAACTTACATGTGAAGGTAAGGGGGTCCTGGCAGCAGAGAACTGGGATCAAGCATTAGAGCTCCATCCTCTGTTCTCCTCATCGATGCTTCTTACAACCTCTCACTCCCCTTGGCCTTTGCCTGGTCTTTTACTTAGTTAAAGGAGTATTTTCATTTGCCTATAAGTGGATAGACTTGGAGAGTATCATGCTGAGTGAAATGGGTCAGAAGGAGAGAGACAGATATAGATTGACTGCATTCATTTATGGGATTAAAAAAAAGTATGAAACTAATATCCGAGGCCAGGGAAAACAGGCAGGAGGACTGGTCGATGGCTGGTCAATGGTGTGGGAGGTAGAGGATAGTAAAGATAGAGGAGGGTCCATTTTGACAATACTAGTTGGAAATGATCACTCTGGACAAGTACTGAGTGTTGAAAGCAAGTAGAAGGTTGTAGATAATAACCTTTCAGCATCTGTATTGCAAACCATAATGCCTAAAATGAGACAAAGAAAGAGAAAAAGAGAGAAAGAAGAAAGGTGCCTGCCATAGTAGCAGGTGGGGGTGGGGGGTGGCTTGAAGGGGCAAGAGGGAAACTGGGGACACTGGTGCTAGGAAATTACACTGGTGGAGGATGGGTGTTGGAACATTGTATGACTGAAATGCAATCGTGAGCAATTTTGTAATGATCTATCTCACGGTGATTCAATAAATTAAAAAAAAAGAGATTTTCCATACACATATTTCTTAATGTGAAATCAGGAGTCAGTCATGGCGGGGAAACAACAGGAGAGAACAACACCAGGCACTCAGGACAGAGCATCCGGAGGCTGTCACAGGAGGCCCGTGGAGGCTGAATTTGTTATTTCAAAGACTTTACCAGAAGCAGCCATCATTACCAAACCTCTGCCTCCAGCCTGAGAGTCAAAGAATTGGGTTCCTCCTCCCAACCCATTGTCCCCGACATCATCCCCAACCCCAGCCAGAGAATACGATAAGATTTGGGGGGAGGGGGAACAATAAATGCCAGTACCCAAATAAACCTGTGTTTCTCACACCAACTCTTGTCTCTACTGCTCATCTGACGAATGTTTGGTCCTGATCCCTCAATCGCATGCCCCCATGCCCACCTTTTCTCCTCTGTGCGTTCTCTTCCCCCTTCTCAGAGCCACACAGTGCCTTGGCACAGGAGAGCAATGAGTAGAATGGACATAACCAGGAAGCCTATAGTCTAGTGGGGGGAGAGGGGCAGGCAGCTGAGTCAGAAGTCAGGGGAGCTATTGCAGGGAGCCCATAACCCAGTTGGGAAAGGTCAGAGAAGGCTCGGCGGGGGGGGAGGGGGGGTAAGAAATGACAAGGCAGCTGAGACCTGGGGGGCCAGTAGATAAAGGTATGAAGAAAGAATGGTCCAGAGAGGAGAGATGATTTGCAGAGACCTGGAGGTAGAAGGTTGGCGTTAGGCAGTGAACAAGTGTGGCAGGTGTTGAACAGGGGAGTATGAGGAGATAAGGCTGGAGAGTGAAGTCAAAGCAGATGGGAGAAGAACTGGAAAGTCTCCAGTAAGAAGTAAATGGGGCCAGGGAAAAGTAGGGGTCTGGTGTGTGCTTTGTCCACACAGGTGCTCTGTGGCCCCCTGAGCTCTTAGTGACCCGAACACTCCCAGTGGCTGTGCTGGTGGGTCTGTTGCACTGCAGGACCCTTGATTCATCTCAAGCACGCCCTCTCCAGTACAAAAATAAGTAGCATCCTGGGGGTATGGTGCCACCCAGCAGGTCAAACTGTACCTGCGGGGCAAGTGCATCAGCAGCCTGATGGTGCCTTCAGGATTCCTGATATCCAAAAATTGCTGCTGTGGGGCTGGAGCAATAGCACAGCTGGTAGGGCGTTTGCCTTGCATGTGGCCAACCCGGGTTCGATTCCCAGCATCCCATATGGTCCCCTGAGCACCGTCAGGGGTGATTCCTGAACGCAGAGCCAGGAGTAACCCCTGTGCATTACCGGGTGTGACCCAAAAAGCAAAAAACAAAAACAAAACAAAACAAAAAAAATTGCCGCTGTGCCTCTGGCTGGATCCCAACAACTTGGAACCAAGTTTCCCAAGAAATTAAACAGCCAAAAGTTAGGTATGTGGGAGTTAGGCCTACAAACCACCTTTGGCTCAGCTATATAAGTTCATCTATGGGCCTTGCTTCAGATAAATAAATATCAAAAGAGATCAAAAGTAGGGTATTTAAGTGCAGTAATGCCATGATTCAGAGACTCACAAAAGAACCTCAGAGGGGTACGGCGTTTGCCTTGCACACGGCCGACCCGGGTTTGATTTCCAGCATCCCATATGGTTTCCTGAGCACCACCACGGGTAATTCCTGACTGAAGGGCCAGGAGTGACCCCTGTGTATTGCCAGATGTGACCCAAAAAGCAAAAAAAAAAAAAAAGAATCTCAGAGGAGGGACTGGAGCAACTGACCCGGGTTCAGTCCTTGGCATCCCATATGGTCCCCCAAGTACCACCAGGAGTGATTCCTGAGTTTAGAGCCAGGAGTAACCACCTCTGAGCATTGCTGTGTGTGACCCAAAAAGCAAAAGAAAGAAAGAAAGACAGAAAGAAAGAAAGAAAGAAAGAAAGAAAGAAGGAAGAAAGAATGAATCTCAGAGGAGAGCAGCATGTCACTGAGATGCCTCCTCACTCTGTGCCAGGCTGATTTCATGGCGGCATTTCGCAGGGGGCAGGTATGTCCCACCACCTGTCTGAAATGAACCACGGCAGCCACAAACCTCCAGAACCCAATTGCCACCATGGTCACAACAAACCTTCACAGGCTTGTCCTGAGGCCCCCGACACATGAGAATGATTCCGCTAAAAAACCCAGGTATGCAGGACCAATGACTGAAAACTCCAGGCTTCATAGAGTTGGGGATGGGCAATCTTCCCCCACCTCCCTGCCTCCCAGTTTCCTGGCAGTCACACCCAAGAACTGCCTCTGGGCACCATTTAAGCACATTAACCGCCACAATTTAGAGTCTCACAAATGAATGTTGGAAGAGAGTAGCATGTCACAGAGATGCCTCTGGATCCCAGATATTTAAACATTTTAGAATTTCAGGATCATGCGGCCACGTTTGTGGCCACGTGACATCTCATACTATTCATGGCAAGTAATATAAATTATTAGCATCTATCTTAGAGGCAGGCTGGGGTGGTGGTGGTGGTAAGATTCAAAGTAGTGGTGGGAAGAAGGTGCAATGGTGGTGGGATTGGTGTCGAAATATTGAATGTAAATAATTATTAACTTTAGAAAAAGAATTTTAATTTTAATTAAAAAATAAGGTAATATGGAGTTCTTGCCTGATTCAAACAGCTTAATCAGTGACTATAAATAGCAGTACTCCTACATTAAAAAAAATAAGTAGCAACCCACTGAAAAGCTGTGAGCAGGAGACATAATAAGGTTACAGTTGAGAATGATCTCTGATCTTAAATCTTTATACAGCACACCAGAGAATTAAATTATAACATGAGGGGCCAGAGAGATAGTACAGTGGGCAGGGCAATTGCCTTATGGTCAATTCAAGTTTGATCCTCTACACCCTGTGTGGTTTCCCAAACCTCTTGAGGAGTGATTCCAGAGCACAGAGCCAGGAGTAAGCCCTGAGCACCACTTGGGTGTGGCTCAAAAACTAAATGAAATAAAGCATGCAGCAGTATCAGGCAGGTTCTCTGGTTGTTATTCAGTTCTGAGTGCCTTCCATGGTGAATCTTGCACACCTTGTTGGGTTCACATGCTGCCATAATTATTGAACTTACACATCTCTCTCCCAAAATAAAAAAGACCCTGCCCTGATATGCTCTGAGTTTAGTGCTCCCAGCACAAAGCCTACCATTTATTTGCAGCCTGTTGTGAAATGTACACCAAGAACCACAGAAGAGGGAAAGCTTTCTACACCTGGTTCTGATGATGGGACCTACATTATCAGGAGAGGGCTTCCCAGGGAAGACGCCCTTCCACCCCAAGCAAAAGAACACCTTCCTCAAGGTGGCTAAAGAAGCTCAGGGTTGGGGCGCTGGAGTGATAGCACAGCGGGTAGGGCGCTTGCCTTGCACACGGCCAACCCAGGTTCAATTCCCAGCATCCCATATGGCCCCTGAGCTACCGCCAGGAGTAATTACTGAGTGCAGAGCCAGGAGCAACCTCTGTGCATCCCCAGGTGAAGCTTAGGGAGAAGCTTCCTTGCTTTTTCGGGTCACATTTAGAAAATAGCAAAGTGGGTTTCCACCGTAGCACCTGTGACCAGGGCTGCCTCCACCACCTCTAGCCCCTAGGAGTTTGCCACTGGAGGTGAAGGGGGTGGGGCTCAACTGAAAAGCAAACTATCTTTGCGGAACCGTTTGGATCTTTGTGCCAGGGAGCGCCCTTCCTTATTGACAGTCAGGAGAAGCCGGCCTCAAGATTATCAAGTTGCAAATGGTCACGCTGGAAGTCAAGTTGCAAATGGTCACGCTGGAAGTTTACAGCCCTCGGGACAGGAAGCACCCCGGGCGGGTACAGGTGAGCACTGGTGAACCGAGAACTTGGACCGAAAGGGGTCGGTTGAGCCGGACCTGACAGTTTCACGATTAGGGGAGGCAGAAGAAGTGCGGGGGGGGGGGGGGCGGGGGGGGGGGCGGGGGCGGGGCTGCTGAAACGAGGCTCGGGGTAGGGAAGGGTTAACCGGGTTAGGGCCCAGGAGAAGGGGGCGGAGCGGACGCGGCTAGCGGGCGGGCGCTGCGCGGGGCCTCGGAAAACAACAGTCGGTCCGGGGCACTCACGGGGTTAAGGGGGCGGGCCCAGCGGAAAGCCACGTGCCGGGGCGCGCGGCTATTGGCTGGCCCGGGGTTGTTTGTGAGCCGCCATTGGCGACGTCCGGACGCCGCGCCGCGCCGATTGGCCAGCGCTTGGAGCGAGCCGCCGGGCCAGGGGGGAGGGAAGGAGGCGGCCGGACCGCGTCGCTGGGCGGGCTGGGCGAGGGCGAGTGGCTGTCCGCGGGGACCCGAACCCCGATCCGCGCCCGCCATGCGCTGGCTCCGCGCGCTGCTCAAGAATGCGTCCCTGGCCGGGGCGCCCAAGTACATCGAGCACTTCAGCAAGTTCTCCCCGTCCCCGCTGTCCATGAAGCAGTTTCTGGACTTCGGTACGGAGGGGACCGGGGGTGGGGTGCGGGGTGGGGTGGGGGGCGGGTGACGTGAAGGAGCGGGGCGGGAGGGGAGGGCGGCCCTGAGTGACAGGAGAGGGTCGCTTGGCTGAGTACCGAGCAGGAAAGGGTTAACAGGGAGTGGGGACCGGCAGGGGAAGAAGCCGGGACTGTGCATTGCGAGTGGGGGGCCCTGAGCCCGAGGGGCCCGGGTGCCTCCCTGGCGCTGCGAGGGGTTTTGGAGAGTCAGGGGGCGGGGACACGGGTGTGACGGAGGCGCGGGAGAGTATCCAGGCACTTAGCGGTCACTCTGGCCACCCCAAGAGTGGGCCCTGGAGAGGAAGGGGGCCCGTGGGGGGCTGGGGGCTGGGGGCTAGCAAGCAGGGTGGGAGGGGTAGCCGCCCTCGCTGGGAAGGTGAGGGACAGGGAGTCTGCTGGGGAAGGGGTTCCCTGGCCAGTATGGAGCAATCCGGGGCTGTCCCAGTGGGCAAGGACACTTGAAGATCAAATCTGCCCTCGCCTAGCCACCTGGCACCAGCTGGGCACCCCCGAGGTGTAAGCAGGCCCCTTCTCCCCATCCCTGGCAGCTCCCCCCCACACTCCACCTCCAGATTCCTGGGCCAGGATCACCCACTTGCAGCATTCTGGGGGCGGCTTTAAAGCAGGAGCGAGGCTGTGCCAACTGGTGACTGTAGTGGGCATTGTGTGGGCCTGATTGTCGGCGCACTATCTCCCTGGTGCCAGCCAGGGATTGGAGGGAATGCCCAGGGCCTCCCCGGTGATGTTGACACAGCCTAACTCAGGTTACAGCTGTGTCACGGGCATAGGGGGTGCTGCCAGCACGCGGGGCACCTGTTCCCCAGGACCTGCCCACCAGCTCCTCTGCCCTGGGCCAGCCGCCTGCTCCCAGGAAAGCCACGTGTTCCTGTGGTCACACAGCCCAGCCTGGTCCCCCAGCACAGCCGGTGCTCAAAGTTCATTTTGGCCTCCTGGTGGACCACCAAGCCCTTCCAGAGGCTGGTGACAGGCTCAAGTGACAGTTGCAAGCAAAATGATCCCAGGGCTTTGAGCTCTCGGCTGTGGTTAGTTCCACCTCCTGCCCCTTGTCTCAGCCCGAGGCCAGATCAGGAGCTCTTGGGTGCTTGGAATTCCTGTTCTCAGGCCTTGTCTGCCTTGTCCAGACATGAGGTGACCCTGGGACCCAGCTGGCACAGAGGTCCAGGTGCTGCTGCCTCAGCCCGGCTCCGCTGTGGGTCGTAATGGTTTCCAGACTCTCTGGCCCCCTGGATCCAGCCTCTCAGTCCGAGTGCTCCGAGGGAAAAAAACAGGCATGAGGAATCAGAACAGAGCAAGTTGACGTGAGCCCAAAAGTGGCCCTGTCCCCGTGGTTAGAGGCAAGCAGGCCCCAAGTGCGGAGGGGACGGGGGGGGGGGGGCGCATGAGGCTGCAGACCCCCAGAAGCAGGCCGGGAGGTATAGAGGTGAGCACAGCAGAGCAAGGAGAGCTGCTTTCTTCTCCCCAGCTCACATCTCTCCTGAACCCCCCCCGGAAGTGAAGGGTCTAATGGAGTGGTGTTCAGCATCGGACTTAGAAAGGCTGAAAACCCCAGAGTTCACCAATCACTAGCGGCAGGTGTGGGGAGGTTGAAGACGGAGGTGTGAGGCCACCAGGCTCCTGAGCTGACCGCTGCTCTGTCCGACAGGCTCCAGCAATGCGTGTGAGAAGACGTCCTTTACCTTCCTCAGGCAGGAGCTGCCCGTCCGCCTGGCCAACATCATGAAAGAGATCAACTTGCTTCCAGACCGGGTTCTGGGCACGCCCTCGGTGCAGCTGGTGCAAAGCTGGTGAGGCCCCCACAGCTGGAGCCCAATGTCCCTGGGTGCAGACATGGCTCCCAGCAGCCTAGAGGGCAGCCTCGGGGGCTGGAGACTTCCCCCAGGTCAAAGAGGAGTCCTGGGCCAGAGCCGGGGCCAAAGTCAAGTTTCCAGCCTCAAGTCTGCAGACACTCATCACCCTCCTCTCTCCGAAAACCCAGATCCACCCAAGGAAAGCCCCATTTTCTTAGCCCCGTCCCCAGATCAGGCTGATACAGTTGCTTCATCACCTCCCCTGGCACCCCAGGCTCTGTGGGGTAATTTTTATCTGGGACAGTTGCTGGGAAACAGAACCAGGAAGAAGCAGAACTTTCGGTTCCGTAATCCATACTACAGCCTGTTTAGGAGGTTGGAGAAGACATCGATAGATAATAGGGTGGGCACAGCATTTAGTCCAAAGAGCTTTGGAGGGGTCGAGCCGGCCACTTGTCACGCAGGACAGTGACAGAGGGCACATCTCAGCTCCACGTGCTTGGGGACTCTGCAGGGATCAGTGCGTGGATGGCGTTAGCCAGTGGCCAGTCACGTGGGGAGGCTAGCAGTTTTCACTCTCACTGACATGGTCACTCGTCACTGGCTGCAGCCTTGGTCTGTGGCTGCACCTGACTGGACATCTCTGGCCAGACGCATGGCTCAGAGACACGGTCGGGGAGCAGAACTTGACCCCACACTTCTGAGCCCAGCACGGTGCTCGTTGGGACAAACAGCCGTGGCCCTGCGTTGATCTCATCTCCTGGGGATAGGAAGAAAGAGCAGAGTGCAGGCTGGACAGACAAGAGCCAGGAGCTACTACGCAGTTACTTTTTCTTCCCACTAAGAATAACAGTACGATTTTAAAGTAAGCGTGCGTCTCTGCCCTCTCTGCAGAGGCATTGTAAACAGGAGCGCCTGGCTCCCCTCCACCCAGTAGCCAAACACCTGTCAGGTTTGCAGCCTTGGCTTGGTGCCCTCCCGACCTGTTTTCTCATGCCATTGGGTCAGAACAGCATCTCATGTGCCCGCCCAGGCACTTAACTTGGTCAGTGTACCCTAAGTGTTTGTTGTACCAGCAAGTTGTGGGGTGTTGAAGAGACACGGGAAGTGGTGCCGCTTGGTCCTTGACCTACAAAGACGGGAAGGGAAGTTCAGAAATGCTTGTGCCCAGGTGTCGAGGCAGGAAAGGGCCTGCTCAGGGCACCTGGGAACGGGCTTTTGGCATCAAGCGCAACAGGTACAAAATAGGAAGCCAGACAGGTGTGTGGAGGACAGGCGGGTTTTCACCCCTTGGTGCTCCCCAGTATCTAGGACCTGTGAGCCTGCCAGCATTTCCTGCCACAGGGTGCCGTGGATTTGCATGTGGGGGACAGAAAGTACCATCTGTTCCCGCCGGGCCACCTCCGGCCCTGGCCGGCAGGTTGCCCTGGCTGCCTCTCCAGCTGGCCCCTGGCCCCATGACTGAGCTGCCCCAGCCTCTCTGGCACTCTGTGTTCCTGGAACAGTGGCCAGGCTGTGCTGGGCCTGCCCAGCCGGCACCCCTGCAGACTCCTTCCGGAGAATCACAAACTTGGGGGCTTGGTCTGACTCGCTCTACTCCCCTCGAGCTGGGAAGGAATGTCCAATCAGGACAGACCGTTGCTTCCTGGTCGGGGAGCCGGCTTGGAGGAGGGCAGGCAGGAGGCAGAGGCAGGGGGGTGGAGTGGGGAGGTGAGAGTCCACACTCACCAGAGGGCCAGCCCCAGAGATGCTTCCAGAGCGAGGTACTGCTGGGCTGGAGAGAGATGGGCCAGTGGGGAAGGTGTTTATTTTGCACACAGCTGACCCGGTTTGATCCCCGGCACTGCTTATGGTCCCCCAAGCTCTGCTAAGTGACCCCTGAGCGTGGAACAGGGAGTGAGACCTGAGCACCGCCAGGTGTGGCCCAGAAACTTAAAAAATCAGAGATGGTGTCTATTGCTCCAGACAGTTGGGGCCAGGGCAGACAGTGTCCCGACAGGGCCCAGGGGGTGCCAGTGAGCGCACAGCTCCTCCTTCCCCCCATACACTTTGGGAGACCACCCAGGAGCAGAGGTAGCTCGGCAAGGCTGGTTCTCATCTCTGAGTCTGCTGAGTAAGGAGTGAGGGTGCAGAAGTCCCTCACGGTGGTCAGAGATCATGTGGGTAGTCTCTGCAAGCGTGGGTGGGCCACGGGGACTGCCCGCCTGGGAATTCTGGCTCTCATACTGCTGCGTCCGTCAGTTCCGTGGGACACCGCAGGCCCTGTCTGGGGAATGCAGGAGGGAGTGCTGGCCAGGGCTGTGGGCCAGCAGACCTGTGTGTGAGGCCGCTTTGCAGCTCGCTGGACACTTCATCCGGGGCCAGCCAAGTGGCCTCTCCGAGCCTGTCACCTCTGCTCCAGGTACTAAGATGCACCACAGACGAGGGAGCTGGGCTTCTGGGCGGCCACAGCCCCAGGCCAGGACAGGATTGTCATGGCCCGTGTGAACCATCAGGCCAGTGCCCTGAGACCTGCAATGCAGTGAGAGCTGTCCAACGAGGCTCTGTCCCGCCGCTGCCCCCTTTACAGAGAGAAGCTGAGGGTCAGCACAGCCCCCCGACCTGGGCGGTGACCTAGTGAGCAGCCGAGTCCGGCTCCCTCACGGGAGGGGCGTTCTGGGGCCACACCTGCGCTCGGATCTCTCCCCTCTGTCTGAGTTCCCCTGCAGGAGGTTCCCCGCTGCAGACCAGCGTCGGGGGAGTGTTGCTGGAGGGGGCAGTGTGGACACCCCTGGGGAGAGGGCATGAACCCGAGGGCAGTGGCGGCAGGGACAGGCTTCCGGAAGGCACAGTGGGAGGCGAGGAGGGGGGCAGCGCTGACTACGACGAGTCCCTCCTGTCACTCCTGGAATCTGGGGGGGTCAGGGCGGCACTGTTGGCCGGGACCTTGTCATCAGCGTCCCAGCCCTGTCTCTGGGCCGTCCCCACCCCAAAGGAGCCAGTCCTTGCCCTCCAGCCCAGCCGCTGTCACCACATCCGTGCTCCCCACAACCAAGCCCCAGCACTGGGCCTCGGACCAAGCGCTTGGCTGCATGCCAGGGCAGAGCCAGCGTCTCTCTGGCACTCCCGCAGTGGGATGTGGGAGCCCCACTTTTTGGATGGGGCCACGGCTGGCACAGACACGGAGGTCTGTCTGTCACTGACTTCCCCCCCCCCCCCGCCCGAGTAGCCCCCAGCTGCCGGATACCTCTTGCTCCTCTTGTCCTCACAAGGCCATCGCCCCCTCGCACCCTGACCCTGGGAGTGTGGGTGCTGGCACAGTGGGTTACGCATACACACACATGCACGTATAACCCCCCCCGCCCCATGAACATACATACCCACATGCTGATGCACACACACGCATGTCCACATGCAGGCACATTACTTAACACACAGACACGTATGCAGTATTCAGCATGTGCATACATACAGATCCTCAGCGTCTGCATACACACACATGCTCACGTACACACACACATACCCCACAGGCACTCACACCCACACCCCCTCACCCAGCACTCTCTTCTGCTCTTCCCATACAAGCCTCTGTGTACTGCAGGCACCACCTGCCAGCACGCACGCACACACACATTACACACACACCCCCACGTGCACACACACACGCACGTGCACACACAGGCACACGCACACATGCCACCCCCTCCTCCCCTGCCCCCTCCCCGCTCAGCATGGTGGAGACTCCACAGCACCTGGGCAGGAGGAAGCTCCAGAAGGAGCCGGCGCCTCGGGATCTGGGGTGACCTTGTTCCCTGTGGGGGCGGCAGGTACAGGCCCTGCTGCAGGCATAGCCAGGTGAAGGCAGTGAGTCACCCTGGGTGGACTTGGCCAAGGCTCAACCTCCCAACATCCCTGGAAACCTCCCTGCTCACGGCAGCATGGCCCTGTGTGCCAGGCTCCTGGGGGCACCAGGGGCTCTTGGGGAAACTTCATCTTCTCTGCTCCCTTCAGTATCCAGGAGTCCAGCCAGGATCCTGCAAGGATCGTCGTTGAGGGTGGTGGGAGCCCTGAGCCGCATCCCACTCTTCTTTCTTTATTTTTAAATGTAGGAGTGCTGCTATTTATCCAGCCACTAATTTAAGCTGATTGAATTGGGCATGAACTCCACATTACTTATCTTTTTAATTTAAAAAAAATTTTTTAATTAAATATTCGTGCGATAGACCATTTACAAAACTGTTCATATAATGATCAGTCATATCATGATCCAGCACCCGTCCCTCCACTAGTGTACGTTTCCCACCACCAACATCCCCCATTTCCCTACCACCCCCCCACCTTCCACACCTCACCCCCAGCCTCCCTCTATTGAAGGCACTTTCCTTCTTGCGCTCGCGCTCGCTCTCTCTCTCTCTCTCTCTCTCTCTCTCTCTCTCTCTCTCTCATCTTTTCCTTTTGTGCATTATGGTTTGCAATACAGGTGCTAAGAGGTCATGGTGTTTGTTCAGGCCGTTTGGTATTTTTATCGGGATGGTAAGGCTGGCGTAGTTTTCAGCTGGGGGCTGCTCTAGGATGGGACTGCCAAGGCTTCTGGAAGTACAGCGAGGTGGGGGAGGGTGCCCATCTCAACTCCGAGAAAGCCTAGAGATTTCAGTCACAAAACCCACATATCCGAGTTTTCAGGAGATCATGTCTTGGTGAGGTCTGTCCTGAGATGGTGGAGTCAGGTCAGGGATATGGCAGCAATTTTGGATGGTGGAAACAAGTGACTGCTGGAGGCTCTGCTTGGATGGGCGCCACGTCAACCCACCCCACCTCCCTCTGATTTACCCCGGTCTGTTCAGCCATGTGCAGGTCCGAGATTAACTGTGGCTTTTGATGTCTTTTGAGGTTTATTTGTGGGTCTCTGAAGCAAGGCCGGTAGTAGAGCTTACATGGCGCCTCTGGAGTTGATTCGTGGGGGTGACTTCCAGTGCTTCGAGGAGTATTGGAAAGTCGGGGAGGTAGCCCATCCCAACTCAAGAAGGCCTGGAGGTTTCAGTCACAAAACGCGCATACCCGAGTTTGCAGCCGATTATATCTTGGTGACGTCCGTCTTGATACAGTGGAGTCAGGCTGGGGGTATTGTGGTGATTTTGGATTGTGGAAACAAATGACTGCCAGGAGCTCTGCTTGGGCGGGCACCAGGCCAATCCACCCGCTCCCAGTTTACTCCAGACTGTTCAGCCATGCACAGGTCCGAGATTAACTGCAGCTTTTGATCTCTTTAGAGATTTTAGTGATGGGTCTCTGAAATAAGGCCAATAAATGAGCTTGTGTAGCTGAGCCGGAGGTTACTTGTGGGCATGGCTCCCACATACCTAACTTTTGGCTGTTTAATTTCTTGGTAAACCTAGCCCTAAGTTGGTGGGGTCTGACCAAAGGCCCAGCGGCAATTTTGGGGTCTCAGGAAGCCTGAAGGCACCATCAGGCAGTTGATGCACTCGCCCCATGGGTACAGGTTGACCTACTGGCGGCACCATACCCCCCGCATCCCACTCTTGGCCCTTCCATGTCCTGTGTATGACTGGGAGGACTTTCCCTGGTGTGTGACTGGGAGGACCCTTTTCCACAGCCACAGAGGGGTGGGGCCAGCTGCCAGAGCATGCGCCCCAACCTTGAGTGTGGGGTCTTTTCCACCACCACCTCCTGTGCACCTGCCGAGCCCAGTGGGGCCACTCTGCTGGACTCTCATCCACCCTGCCACCCAGGGCCTCCCGCCAGATGGGCACTGATATCACTGCAGGAGGCAGGATGTAGGAGCTCTAGTTGTCTGCAGAGTTGCAGAGGGGGGCAGGAGGCAGTGCTCTCCTCTGCGGCTCTTCTGTTTGCGACACCCCCTCTGGTGTGTACCCAGTTACAGCCAGGAGGGGTCTGGCCTGGGGGCGCCAGCCACGCACCTAGCACCTGGCACACCCAGACACGTTTAGCTGTTCCTTGTCACAAACTAGCAACGGCAGAAGGGGCAGACCCTCTGGAGAAGCCCCATCCCTGCCAGGCAGCTGCCCGCTCCTCTCCCCGGGAGCACCAGCCTCAGGATGGCCCCACTGGCCAGGAGACTCTGGGGCACCCCATCTGCTGCCCTCTACCCTGCGGGCTCAGTCCCCTGCAGAAAAGCTGATCCTAGATGCCGTTGGAGATGCTGATCCCGGCCTACAGGTGGAGGGGTCAGCCCTACCCTGAACAGTGCTGAGAAAGCCCCGAACCCCCAAGTCCCACTCACCTTCCACATAAAGTTCACATCCAGGGTCAGGGGTGGGCTCGGAGGACTGGATCTGTGCCACGTATGTGCCATGCCCCTCATTTCCTGAGCACCACCAGGCCTGGGTGTCTATAACCTTGGGTCCTGGGATGGGTTCCTTGGTTCCCTGCCCAAGCATGGCGAGGCAAACCCCCTTCCTGCCCACCCCCCACAAAAAAAGTGTCTCTAGAGCCTGAGGCTGATGGCACAGCTCCTGGTGCCTGCCCCGGCTCACCCAGCCCAGAAGTGTGGGAGGGGCCATCCTCTCTGAGCCTGGCCCTAGCCACCCACTGCCTGCTGCATCCCTCTGGACAAACCCACAGGCATTTCCAGGGAGGCTGAGAGACTTGGGCCTCAGCACCCAACTGCCTCCTCACCTGTGAGATGCCCTGAATGGGGAAGTCTGCAGGGCCAAGGAGAGCACTGATTCAGGAGTCCAGGGCAGAGGAGAAGGACTAGAAGGCAGCTGGCAGGGGCATGAGGGGGACCCGGGGCCAGAGAGAGGGTCCAGTGGGTGGGAGGGGCCATCCCGAGCTGAGGCTCTCTCCTGTCCCCTGCAGGTATGTGCAGAGTCTCCTGGATATTATGGCCTTCCTGGACAAGGACCCCGAGGACCACCGGACCCTCAGCCTGTGAGTGCGGCCAGGCCAGGGCCAGGAGGACAGGTGCAGGACCAGAGGCGGCCTCCCAGTTCCATGACAGAAGGGACTGCTGGCCACGGGGCTGCCCAGTTTGAGAGGGGAAAAGGTCCCTGACCTATTCCTTCCCCCCCAAGTCTGATGGAGGAGGCCTCACTGCTGGGCAGCCCCCAGATGGCAGGTGGGCTGGGGGACGGGAGGAGAGGGCACTGTGAGTTGAGGGGGTTGGAGACTAGAGCTGGGGAGCCTGGGGGTGTGTCTCCAGGCCAGAATCCGCCCCCACCCCCTCCTCCCACAGGTTCACGGAAGCCCTGGTCACCATCCGGAACCGCCACAACGATGTGGTACCCACCATGGCACAGGGTGTGCTGGAGTACAAGGACACATATGGCGATGACCCAGTGTCCAACCAGAATATCCAGTACTTCCTGGACCGGTTCTACCTCAGCCGCATCTCTATCCGCATGCTCATCAACCAGCACAGTGAGTGTCCCCACGGCCACTCCCCATGGCCAGCCCTCATGGCCAGTCCCCACACCCAGCTCCCATGACCAGCCCCCACGTCTGGTCCCCGTGGCCAACCCTCATGTTCAGTCCCCATGGCCAGCCCACACGACCAACCCCCAGCTCCAGCCCCCATATCCAGTCCTTTCAGCAGGACTTGGCATTTGTCGGCTCCCGCTGCACTGGGAGGCAGCTGCCTAGTTCCTCCTTCCACGTGTCCGCTCTGGTGGGTGAGGAATCATGGTCAGGCGTTGAGTGAGTTCCTTACACACCGGTGATTTCTAGTGCAGGCGGGTTAGAATGGCTGCTTAGTGGCAGAACAGTCCAGTACAGCGTGGACTGTGATGAGGGATGAGGTCTCTGAAAAGACATCCTCGGTTCTGCAAGGTCTTAAAGCCCTGAACCAGGCGGAGTGGGCCACAGGGCAGAGAGGGCCGGAAGAGATGCACAGGTGTCACTTGCTGGTGGCAAGCTCCTGTGCGACAAGTATTACATGGCTTCCCCTGACCTGGAGATCCAGGAAGTCAATGGTGAGTGAGTGAGTAAGTGTGAGTGAGTGAGGCCCAGTGTATGAGGGGCCGGGAGAGGCTAGGGAGTTAGTGCAGCGGGCAGAGCACCTGCCTCGCACACGGCTGACCCAGGTTCAGTCCCCAGTACCTCATATGCTCCTCCCATATGCTACCAGGAGTAATTCCTGAGTGCAGAGCCAGGAATTAACCCCTAAGCACCACTGGGTATGCCCCAAAACAAAAACAAAAACAAAAACCTGAGGGAGGGCCCGAGAGGCTGTGGGAGCCCTGCCACAGCGCCCGCCTTCTCTGCAGCCCTCATCTTTGACGGCAGCACCAACCCAGCCCATCCTAAGCACATCGGCAGCATTGACCCCAACTGCAGCGTCTCTGATGTGGTGAAAGGTAGGCGAACACAACAGCCAGGAGACCCATCCAGGCTGACTTGGCCAGAAGTGACCCCCCCTTCCCAGTGGGTGGGGGCTGCCTCTGTGGCTTTCGTGTTGGTGATGCTCGGGGTTCTAACCAATGCCACCCCCTTCCCTACATGGCTCCCTTCCTTCACAGATGCCTATGATATGGCCAAGCTCCTGTGCGACAAGTATTACATGGCTTCCCCTGACCTGGAGATCCAGGAAGTCAATGGTGAGTGAGTGAGTGAGTGTGAGTGAGTGAGGCCCAGTGTATGAGCAAGGCCAGGTGTGTGTGTGAGAGAGGCGCTGTGTATGTATGTGAAAATCTGTGTGTGTAGAGTATGTGAGAGAGAGAGGTACTGTGTGTATGTGAGAATCCGTGTGTGTGTGTGTGTGAGAGAGAGAGAGAGAGAGAGAAGAGACAGAGGCACTGTGTGTGTATATGAGAATCCATGTATATGTTTGAGAGAAGAACTGTGTGTATGTGAGAATCCAATGTGTGTGTGAGAGAGAGAGACAGAGAGAGACAGAGAGAGGCACTGTGTGTATATGAGGCACTGTGTGTGTATATGAGAATCCATGTATATGTTTGAGAGAGGAACTGTGTGTATGTGAGAATCCAATGTGTGTGTGAGAGAGAGAGAGAGAGACAGAGAGAGGCACTGTGTATATATGAGAATCCATGTGTGTCAATGTGAGAGCGAAGCTGTGTGTGTATGTGAGAATCCATGTGTGTGACTGAGAGAGTGTCTGTGTGTGTGATAAATAAGATGTGTATGGGAAAATATGTGTGTGATAGAGAAGCTGTATAAGTGTGTATCCATCTGTGAGAGTGGTGGTATGTGTGAATCCGTGTGTGAGAGAGAGGCTCTGTGTATATGTGAATTCATGTATATGTGTGTAAGAATCCATGTTTGTAAAAAAAAAAGAATCCATATTTGTATGTGAGAATCCGTGTGAGTGTGTATGAGAGTGAGACTGTGTATGTGAATTCTTGTGTTTGAGAGACTGTGTGTATAAGAACCCATGTCTGTGTGATTGTATGAGAGAGACTGCGTGTGTATGTGACAATCCATGTGTGTGTGAGTGTGCAAGAGACGGACGCTCTGTTTATATGTGAGAATCAGTATGTGAGTGTATGAGAGAGGCTGTGTATATGTGAGAATCAGTGTGTGAGCGAGAGGCTGTGTGTGTGAGAATCCCTATGTATGTGTGAGAGAGGCTGCGTCTATGTGAATCCATGTGTGTGTGAGAAAAAGAGGCTATGAGTATGTGTGAAGCCATGTGTTGGAGAATGTGAAAGGCCGTATATGTATGTGTGAATCCGTGTGAGTGTGTGTGAGTTAGACCTTGTACGTGAGACACAGAGAGAGATGAGGTCATGTGTGTCTGTGCCTCTGTATTGTGCCAAACTTTGTATGTGAGTTAGGCCATTCATGAGTGAGTGTGTGAGTGTGAATAGGGCTTGAACTTCTGAGATGGTAGGCCTGATCTTACTCATCTTTATGCCCTCAGGGCCCTGCACAGGGCCTGACATTCCTTCCTTCATTGGGTGACTGCACAGTTATCAAGTTCCTGGTACATGCAAAGCTCTGAACTGGGTCACAGAAGAAAACATGTAGCTCTCTACCAAGCAACTCCCTTGGCTAGAGTGATTCTTGGGAAGCAGAGTACTGGTGTTAGAGTCATCTGGGAAACACCACTTTTCCCTCACCCCTGGGCGATAAAACTCTCTAGATAGACTTTAACAGCCGGGTACATGTTATAGGCTGGATATAGAATGGGAATATACTGTTTTCATGGAAGACTGCTTGATAGATTGAGAGAATACAAATAGGTAGAAGGCCAGGTAAATTGCATAGATTTTTTAATAGACGCATAGATTGAAGGCTGTTGGATGATTGAATGGACTCTGCATAGGTGGGTAGAGTATGAATGGATATGAAGAATTCATATTCATCCAGCAACCAGAATGGATAGGTGGACAGACATAACAGATGGCTACTGTATGGAGGAGCATTTGACTGAGTAGACTGGATGGATTGATGGATGGATATGTGGATGGATGGATAGATATGTGGATAGATAGATGAATGGATGTATGAGTAGGCGGGTATGTAAATCAATGGATATGTGAATGGATTGATGAATGACTGGATCGATAGATGAAAGGGTAGATGAATGGTTATATGGCTATATGGATGGATGGAGGGAGGATGGTTGGGTATGTGGATGGTTGGATGGGTATATAGATGCATAAATGGATGGATGAATGGGTAGATGGGTATATGTATATATGGATTAATGGGTATGTGGATGGATAAGTATGTGGATGGTTGGATGGATAGATGGATGGATGGGTAGATGGATATCCGGATGGATGGATGGATGAATGAATGGATAAATGAATGTGTGGATGAATGGGTATATGAGTGGATGGATGGATGGATGGTTGTGTGGATGGATGAGTATATGGATGGTTGGATGGCTAGATGGAGGGATGGGTAATTATATGGATGGATGAAGGATGGATGATGGGTATGTGGATGAATGGATGGGTGGGTAGATAAGTATCTGGATGGATGGATGGATGGATGGATAGAGGATGGATAGAGGATAGATGGATGGGTATGTGGGTGGATGTATGGGTAGGTAAATATCTCAAGGGATGAGTGGATGGATGGAGGATGGATGGGTATGTGGATGGATGGATGGGTGGATGGATGGTTGAGCAGATGAAGGGTAGCAGAGAGGCAGTGTGTGCTGGATGATGTGTGCAGGGTGGTGCCTGATGATTTCTGACCTCTTGACAATTTCATGTCCTTTGACTTTCCCTCAGCCACCAACTCCAAAGAACCAATCCATATGGTGTATGTCCCCTCCCACCTCTATCATATGCTCTTCGAGCTCTTTAAGGTGAGGAAGTCGGGGGATGGTGCTTTGCTTCCATGTGGAGGGGGCAATGAGGGGCCAGGCTGCCTCACTTCTCTTTCCCTGCATCCCTGCAGAATGCCATGCGTGCCACGGTGGAGAGTCACGAATCCAGCCTCGTCCTCCCCCCTATCAAGGTCATGGTGGCCTTGGGTGAGGAAGATCTGTCCATCAAAGTACGTGACCTTTGACTTTGTGGGGGAGGTGGAGACTTTGCTCCTGTCATGAGTTGAGTTTGGGGAGGCATCAATGGTGGGGAGGCTGTGAAGAGGTCAGGTCTATGGAAAGTAGGTCTGGAAGGCCCCTGACATGCTCCTTCTCCCCACAGATGAGTGACCGAGGTGGGGGTGTGCCCTTGAGGAAGATTGAGCGGCTCTTCAGCTACATGTACTCGACAGCACCCACCCCGCAGCCAGGCACAGGGGGAACCCCACTGGTGAGCCGACTTCTCTCCTCCCTGTTCTGTTCCCTCGTCTCTTGGTCCATCCATCCATCCATCCATCCATCCATCCATCCATCCATCCATCGCTATCTCTGTCTGTCCATCTGTCTCCATCCATTTTTCTGTCTTGTCTATCCATATGTCTGTCCATCCATCCACCTGGCTATCCACTCTACCCACCTTTCTGTTCAGCTAGTGCTCCCCTCCTGTCATCCCTGGTCTCTCCATCCTGAGCACTGACTCCGGCCTACACCCCCCCTCACCTGTTTACTACCCTCCCCCCTGCCTTCTCCTGGCCTCTCCTCCACCATGGCTCCCGCCTCCCAGCTCCCAGCAGAGGTCCTCCCTGCCCCACTCCAGTCCAGGGATTCCTCCTCAGGACTCCACTCCCCACACACTCAGCACACCTCATTCCCTCACTGGGCCTCATTCTCTCCCGGCCTGCCATGGCCTCATCTACTCTTGTCCCACCCCCTTGCAGGCTGGCTTTGGGTATGGGCTCCCCATTTCCCGCCTCTACGCCAAGTACTTCCAGGGAGACCTGCAGCTCTTCTCCATGGAGGGCTTCGGCACGGACGCTGTCATCTATCTCAAGGTGAGGCCTGGGGATGCCGGGCTGCCAACCCCATCTTCATGCCACACTGAGTGGCAGGGCAGAGCCTCTGCTCCCCACCCCCTTGCCCTGACCTGGAAGCAGTTTCAGGGTGACTGGTCCCTAAGACCCAGAAGGAGGGGAAAAAGGGCCAGAGAGATAGTACAGTCAGTAAGGTGCTTGCCATGCATGCAGCTGACCTGGGTTCAATTCCTGGCATCCCATATGGTTCCCTGAGCTCCGCCAGGAGAATGGCCTGAGCCACCGCCAGGTGTGACGAAACCACGGAGGCCTTATAGCTGGTCCCATGACCCAGCTTCCTTCACTCCGCAGGGGCCAGCCCAGACAGGCATCCTCGGGGGCGACTTTCTGGGTGGATCCACAGGCTGGGCTGTTGCTGACATGCGTCAGACATGGGACCACCCCACAGAGGGCCAGGGTGTCCACTGAGGCAAGACTGACCCCCCCACCCGCACCCCCAGGCCCTGTCCACAGACTCGGTGGAGCGCCTGCCCGTGTACAACAAGTCCGCGTGGCGCCACTACCAGACCATCCAGGAGGCGGGCGACTGGTGCGTGCCCAGTACAGAGCCCAAGAACACGTCCACTTACCGCGTCAGCTAGGGGCCGCCACGCCGTGCCCGGGACAGTCACCTCGGGCCTGGACCCTCCCCGATGACCTGCCTGTGTCTCGAAGTCACCGCAGGGATGGGTCGGGGCCTGAAGTGCCAGTCTGTCTCCATGGAGACCCCGAGCCTGTGGGAAGAGCCTGAGGATTGGGGAGGGCCCCCCGAGGAGGTGTCCCGAGGCCCGTTTCTGCGGCCTTCCTCCTCTCTGCGTTGTGCGCCCCCTTTTCTCTGGGGGACCTGGGTCCCCCCCGCATCACTGCCCTCCACAGCCCCTGCTTGTCTTATTCCCGGCCCCTGCAGCACCCGGACATGGGCTGCTGTCAGTGTTAGGAGGGGGGACGCCCTTGGGCTCCCAGCGGGGCAGTGGATGCTGCAGCCCCCCACCACGCTGGGTGCACTGGCTGAGGGTGGTTTTCTCACTCCGGCCTCCTGCAGTACAGGAACTGGACAGACGCCGAGGGCGCCCCGGCCCCGCCCCGCATGTCCTCCCTCCCACGCCCACCTCGCACCCCTTGTGGGGGCGCCCGCCCATCCACATGTGGGGGGCGCTTCTCTCTAGCTCGCTTTGTACATAGCTGGTTTTATAGCCTGGTGCGCCCCTTTCCCGAGCAGGGGACAGGGGTGCGGCGGGCCGAGTCCTGGCCTGCCCTGTGCTGGGCATGGCCGTCCAAGTAAAGAGGAGATGGTGTGGCCTGCCTCTCTGCTTTCCTGCGCCGCCCCCAGGACACCCTGCCAACCTGAGGGGACCCACCCCACACTCACGCCCATGTCTCCGCCCCGGACCCCACACGAGCAGACGAGAGGTGGGTCGCTGGCACATCCTAAGTGTTTATTGAAAGAAATCGAGTTCCATCTCCCCGTCCACATGCAGGCGGGCACCCCGCTCACTCCTAACGCCCACCAGCCCCTCCACTGAGCCCAGTGCTGCCCGGGCCCCCTCATTCTCCCAAACCCCCTCCCAGCACTACCAGTAGGTGAGGGGTGACCCCCCCCAGGCCACAGCCCCGAGATGGGAAGGGGGACGACATGCATTGGTCCCTCCCCTCAGCTCCAGGCAGGTGGGAGGAGGTGAGGGGTTCTGTTTAGGGACCTCTGATCCCGTTGGTCACTCAGGCCAGTGCCCCAGTCACTGAGCTATGGGTCCACCTGTGCCTGATGGCCCCTTCTGCCTGGACACATGTAGTCAGGCGACAGAAGAGACCCCACTGACCCAGAGGCCCTGCCCGGGAATAGGGTCTCTGCTGGGTTCCTATTCTGGAGCTTGTGGAGGTCCGGGCAGGGGGCTAGCCCAGGTGGGCTGTAAACCTTTCTGGTCTTCCGGGACCCCCCCCCCCCAAGCTCTGCCTCTGCCAGGCCGGGTGAGTGCTCAGTTGCCACCAGCTCCTGCGTTTGCACCGTCCTCTCCCCTGGGGACCCCAGGACCGGGGCAGGGTGGCTCAGCTCATCCTTCCTTCTCCCAGAGTCCTCGAGCAGGTCCCGTGGGACCCCCGGCCACTGAGGAATGTGGAGTGGAGCTACCCTGAGTGCACTGGCCCCCTAGTGGGGAGAGAAGCGACTCCCACCCCCGCTCCTGCAGGGTGCCCCTGGGTTGGCTTTGCCCCCAGCCGCCCTCCCCCTGGGAACTCTGTGCCGAGGTGCCTGGAAGCGCCACGTCTCCCTTCCAGGGGGCATCGGGTCCAGAAGTGGGGTGAGGCCAGGGTGCCGTGCCTGCCCCTGCTAGCTCTTCTTGGCCTCCTGCTCGCGCTCCCGGCGCCGGAGCTTCTCGCACTGCCGCGCCGCCTTCTCCTGGGCCTTGCGCTCCTTCTCGGCTGCCGCCGCCAGCTCCTTCAGCTTCCGCTTCACCAGCGCCCGGTCGTGGGAGCTGCTGAGCCCCAGGCTCTGAGGGAGAGACAGGCAGGGAGAGGAGCCTGGTGCCCCTGGCCTGCCTGTGGGCCGGGGGCTGCAGGGTGGGCTGCCCCCAGGCCCCCCCGGCACAGCCCTTGGGCAAGGCTGGGACTGGGGCTGAGGGAGCGTGGGCGCTAAGGTGGGTACTAAGCCCTGTTCTGGGATTGAGTCCTCCATCCCACCCAACCCCCTAAGGCCCACAGGTGAGGGATGGCCTGTCCCGGAACACAGCTCGTCTGTCACCAAGGTCCCTCGGAACCCCCCTAGCGACTCAAGCAGAGGGTGGGAAACAGGCCCTAAGCCCCGCTGCACAAGGTCAGAGACCCCAGCCTCCTCTTAGCAACCACCAGGCTCCAAGCCTGAGGACCGGAGCTGCCCCAGGCGGGCCCGGCCCTCCCATGCCGCCAACCCGAGAGTCAGCGGCCCTGGGGGTCAAGGTCAACCCGGAGAACTGGGCTGGAGCAAAAGGCCAAACTGAAGACCAGATGAGGCCCAGAACACTTCCTAGAGGTCACAGGTCTCCGGCCCATGGCCTTGGAGAGAGCATGGAGGTGGGGGTGGCAGGACTGGCAGTTCTGGGGGCGGCCTCAGCACCCCGCACACACCTTCAGCTTGCTCCCGTCCAACTGCAGCAGCTGCGGCCCGTCCACCTGGCGCGCGGCGAACTCGGCGGCGTACTGCTCCAGGTGGAGGCTGCTCAGCCACTGGCCCACCTGCTGGCTGGTCCAGTGATGCACAGCAGGGAGTGGCTCCTCCAGGAACTGGGGCGAGAGCAGGAGAGTGAGGAGAGGGGGGGTGCCCACAGCCACAGGCAAGCCACAGCCGGCACTCACCTCGTCAGAAGACTGGGAAAGCGTGTGGTAGGGGTAGGAGCACTTGTCCTCCTGCCGGGGCCCGCAGGGGATCTTGGGGCTGCTGCTGGGGGGTGTGGAGTCGTCGCTCAGGGTGGATTCCTAGACAGAAAAGGGGAGAGCTCAGCCCCTGCTCAAGGGAGTGCCCCCAGCCCGCCCACCCCAGCTGGGTACACCAGAGCTCAGCCTGGGTCCTGTCGCCCCAGGCATGCATGGAGCTGGGCTGGCCCCTGGGATGTGCAGCTCATCACGTGATCCAGACCTGAGGTTTTCTTGGGGGGTGGGGGCAGTGCTGGCATGCAGGAACAGAGGCACACCCTCCAGCCTGCCAAGCAGGGTACCCCAGAACCCCACCCTTTGCTTGCAGGTGTCCAGCTCGAGGTCCCTGTGCAGCTGAGTCTGTGAGCCAACCAAGGGCCTGTTTTGTGTTCGTCCAGGACCCCAGTACTCAGGACAAGAGTGGGGGCAGGAAAGGGGGCAGGGAGGCATAAGGAAGGCCACACCAGGGGGGACCGTGTACCCCTCAACTGCCAGCTGTCTGAGGTCTGCCCCATCTCCGCAGCAGAAAGGGAAGCAGAGACGGTGCCTGGGCTGGCCAGGCGGCTTCCCCAGTGTCCGTGGGGCTCTGCACGGGCAAGGGCACCCAGGAGAGCCCAGACCCCAGCTCGAGCACCCCCACCTGGGGCGCCAGGGCAGGAGCAGGGGCGCGGGGGCTCACCTGCGAAGCTGACTTCTTAGGGCTGAAGCCCTCGTGTTTGGGGGAGCAGATGGGAGACGTGGTGCTGCCGGAGGATGCCGAACCCTTGCCGCTGTCTGTGAACCAGGAAAAGGGCAGGAACGGGGAGCCCCCTGATCTGCCAGAGCCCTCCACCGACTCCCTGTGGAGAGAGCGCCCCGGTGGGTGCGGTGCCCAGGAGGGGGCAACCTGGCCCAGGAAGGCCCCAGTCGGGGGGGTCCTACCTGCTGCCCATGGACAGCCGGTTACTGCCCTTCTCCTTACGGCTCTTGCTCGTGGATGCTCGACGTAAGGTGACCCTGCGGGGAGTGGACGGAGGGGAGCGAGTCTCTCACCATCCTGCACCCGGCAAGCTGAGCCTCTGCCCGGGACCATCCTCCACTCACCCCAGGTCCAGGAACTTCCGGCGAGTCTTCTTGTCCAGGCCAATGGTGGGGCTGGCAGGCTCGGGTGGGCTGGCATCCCGGCTGTCATCTTTGGGGGAAACAGAAGGAAGAAACCTGCACGGTTTGGGCCAGGACAAGGGGAGGGGCCAGAAACCCCATTTTTGTTGCTTGGGCCCCCCCCCCCCGGGGGTGCTCAGGGGCCCAGGCGGTACCAGAGGTGGAAGTACTTGTGCGTGTGACAATCTCCCTAACCTGAGAAAACCTCTTGGAATCTACCGCCTGACTCTAAGGCTTTCACCAGCTGTGTGCCCTGGAACTCTCCAAATTTCCTTCATCTTAAACAGGGCGTGATGGGTCAGAGCAGCGGCTTGGGCATTTGCCTTGCACACGGCTGACCCGGATTTGATCCCTGGCATCCCATATAGTCCCTCAAGCACCGCCAGGAGTAATTCCTGAGTGCAGAGCCAGGACTGACCCGAGCATCACCTGGTGTGACCCAAAAAGCCAAAGTAAATAAATAAAAATTTAAATATGGAGCAAACAACACTGGCTTATTCCCCCAGACCTAGCGGGATGTTTATGAAAGCTTTGTGTACACTGAAACCAGCCTGGAGAAATTGGGGCCATTTCTACTTACTGTCAGGAGCTTGGGGAGTTCTGTTTGTTTGGATGACACCCATTAGGGCTCAGGGAGTCATTCCCATATGGTACCCCATGTCCTTGGGGTTTCCCACATGGAAAGCCTGCACTCAGCCCTTTGACCCATCTCCCCAGACCCCATTATCAGTTTGTGGATCAGCTTCTCATTCAACCCTTCCTTGGAGGAGCCTGTGCACCCTCCTAACACCAGATAATATTTCTGGCCTAAAATAATTACAGCTTGTAACTATATCCTTAATTGAGCAAGAATTTGCTTTCCCCCCAAACTAGAAAGAATTAATTATTCAATGCTTTCTCCGCAAAACTACAAGCCTCGCAAAGACAAGGGCAGCTTCGGCTTGCTGGTTTGTGTGACCCAGTGCCCAGCAGGTGCCCAGGAGCAAGTCCGCAGTTTCTGCCCACCTGCCCAGCCCGGCTGCGGTTCCGGGACGCGCCCGCAGGGGGCGCCAGGCCGGCCGCAGCTTACCTTCGCTGTGCGGCTCTGCGCGCGGGTAGCGGCGCACGAAGCTGGGCGAGCTGTCGGAGGAGGGCGCGGAGCGTGGCGGCGAGCAGGATGCGGCCGCCAGGCCCTCGTGCGAGGCGGCGTTGTGCAGGGGCCGGTAACGCGCGAGCGGCGAGGGCGGAGGCTCGTCCTCGTCCAGACTGCGCCGCAAGCCGGGGGGCTCCAGGCAGAAAGAGCCCCCAGCCGGGGACCCGGGGCCCGAGTGCAAAGGCGAACGCAGTCGGTGCAGGGGGCTCCCGCAGCCGTCCGTCACCTGGGAAGGGGCAGCCACTCACCACCAAACCTCCTTCCCACTTCCCACGGGGTCTGGGGGCGCTGTCACCCTGCGCAGTGTCGCTGACAGGGGCTGGGGGGGTGGTCCCCGAGCTCCACCCGGCTGAGGGGTGCTAGGGTGAACAGTTGTGGGTTGAACCCAGTGTCCTTCACCTGGTAACCAAGTGACTTTGCTCCTGAGCCTCCCAGAGGCCCCAGTTTCCCCATCTGCACAATGGGTCTGCAGGTACCTTCCTAGTCAGGGTGTAACAGCCAGAGTTGCCCCATTCTGATATGGGGGGGGGGGGGTACCTACAGGAGTGGTTCAGAGGGGCTTCCCCGGGGCAAGGGTGGATAGGACATGTATATCTGGGCCCACCTTGCCCCCTGGCCCATCGGAGCCTTCCCCATCCTCTGCAGAGCTGGCGCTGTCCCGAAGCCGGGAGCGGGAGGGCCGGTGTCTCCGGCCTTTGGCTAGCAGCTGCGCCCGGGCCTTGTGTAGACTGCTGTCCAGCCTGGCGGTCTCGGGCACGGCCAAGTCCAGGTCTGCGGGTGGGAGGGGAGGGGAGGGGAGGGGAGGGGCACAAAAACCAGACATATGAGGACAGACAGCAAGCCCGGAGGTTCGCCACTCACTCCACGACTATCTCACATCCCAGAGATGGGAGACGGAGCTCCCCAGTCTCCCCCAGTCTCCTGGGGAGCCTACTGGGCCAGCACCCAAGCACCCAGCTGCTCCCGACTGCCTGGGTCGGAGCAGTACGCACCCACACTGTCTGGTCTAGACGGGCCTTGCAAGAGAAGAGATAAGAGGGACAGTCCCTGTGAGACAGATCCCTCCTCAGCACGGAGGAAGGGGTTGGGGAGGAAAGACTCACTCTTTCTTTCTTTCTCTTTCTTTCTTTCTTTCTTTCTTTCTTTCTTTCTTTCTTTCATTGAATCAACATGAGATACAGTTACAAAGCTTTCATGATTGAGTTTCAGCCATGCAATGATTGAACATCCATCCCTCCACCAGTAAGCATTTTCTACCACCAATGTCCCCAGTATTCCTCCCTTCATCCCCACCCCGTCCCACCCCCTGCCTCTGTAGCAGGCACCTTCCTTCTTGCTCTCTCCTTTTGGGCATCATGGTTTGCAAACAGATACTGAGAGGTCATCATGTTTGGTCCTTTGTCTACTTTCAGCACACATCTCCCATCCCAAGCGATCCCTCCAACCATCACCGACTTGGTGGTCCCTTCTCCATCCCAACTGCCTTTGCCCCCAGCTTTCAACCATGGAGCGATCTTCCTGGCCCTTGTCTCTACTGTCCTTGGGTGTTAGTCTCACACTATGCTACTTTATACTACGGGTGGGGTCTTTCATGGCACCTCCAGGGCCACTGCAGGGTAGGTGTGTGGCAGAAGGCTCGGGGCTGAGCTGGCCCAGAGAGCTAGTGCAGCGGGTAAGGTGTCTGTTTTGCATGTGCCCAACCCAGCATTGCACAGGGTCCTGCAGACCCGCCAGGAGAGATCCCCGAGCACAGCGCCAGGAGTAAGCCCTGAGCACCGCCAAGTGTGGCAGAAAACAAAACCCACGAAATTAAAAGGAGCATCTCCTACACGCCATCAAGCTACCCCTCAGCTCATTTCAGAGCACCGGCGCCAACCCACACTTCACAGCCAGCAGGGAGGTCTCAAGACAGGGATGCAAGCGGAACAGTGGCTCGGGGTGCCTAAGGGGACACTGGCCTAAGAGATCATGCCCAGGTCAGTCTCTGGCCATGTCACTGAGCTTCTAGAAGGCTCCAAGCTGAACTGGAGCAGAGGGACCCACACCTGCCAGTCAGTGACCATCGAGGCACACCTACAATTCCTGAGCCCCGCCTCTCCCTTCCTGGGGTCTGTGGAGCTAGGCTCAATCTCAGAGGTCAGCCACCCCAGCCGGTGACACCTAATGCCATTGCTCCAGCTTGTCACCTGTCACTGTCTTACCCAGGAACAAACCCCTCACTCTACAAGGGGCCCTGAGTCTGGGGTGTCCAGGCAGACGAGGTGGTTCCCGGACCCCAGGAGGGGAGAAGACAGTCACTCACTCACCGCCACTCTTCCTCCCTGCCCTCCAACCCTCCCCACACCCCGTCCCTATTCTTCCGGACTTTGGGGAGTTCCCTCTGTGACTCATGCTCACCCTCCAGCCCTGGCTGCAGACCCCCTCACCCACCCCACATACCATCTGTGTACCCACCCTTGCCCCACCCCCTGAATTCCAAACCCAGGCCCCTCTTAGCTACCAGGGAACTCGCCCATTCTGAGGTGCCCGTCCCCTCCATTCACAGAACCAGCCACTTCGCCTCTAATGGACCTCTGTGTCCCCCAGCCACCCCCTCCCCCAGACGTCCCTTGCCTCAATCCCATTCCTGCTGACACCTCCTCTTGGATGCACAGCGCCCCCAGCCCAAACCTACCCCCGACAGGCCTTCCCCATCCTTATGAGTGGCAGCACCAGGCGCCCACATGGGCCCCCAGCCCCGGAGCCATCCCCGACTCCTCTCTCCCTCCCACCTGCAGTTCCCGTTAGCTCCAAACACATCGAGACATACTGAAATATTCATGGGGAAGTGGTCTGATGCTTTGGATTCGGTTCAGAAGAATCCCAGGGCGCAGGGGTGTAGCCTGAGAGGAGTGGAGAGGAAGCCAAGAGGGGCTGTGAGGGCCTGGAGAGAGGGGTTGGGGGGGCAGGCCCCCAAGACCAGCTGGGGATCCTAGAGCCTCGTGCTGGAGCCTGGGCTGACCAGAACCTAGGCAGGGAGAACCACAGATGAGGGGAAAGGAGGGAACCCCTCGAGCCACCGTGTCTACTTCTGTTTCCAGGGGCCGCCTCTCTGGGATGTGCCCAGGGGGGCCATGTGGGGCTCCACTGGCAAAGCCCGAGCTCCAGATCTTTCTGACCCCTCCCAGTCCCCGTCACCTCTCGGATTCTCACAGGCGCCTCCAGGCCAGCTCAGCCCTCCTTCCTCCCATCTCTGCGCACAGGCTGAATGATCCTGATGTGACCTGTCACTAAGGTGCCTGCACAGTGAGAGCCCAGGTCTGGGGGTGGGGGTGGGGATACAGGCTCAGGTCCCTCCCCCTGGGGGCTGCTGCCTGCCCCCCTCACCGCCCCCTGCCCGCGGGCACCTGGGCCCTTTCTCTCCCCTCTCCTGTCCAGCCCTAGCCACAGAGCACCACTGCCTGCTTCCCACCTCACCTCCTTGAAAGCTTCCCAGATCAACAAGCCTCACCATGGCTCTCCCTGACCTCCGACCTTCCCTCTACCCACTCCTGTTCTCCCTCAAGATCTTCTTGTTTTGGTTCTGGGGCCACACCTGGCAATGCTCAGGGCTTAGTCTAGGCTGTGGGGTCAGGGGTCACTCTTGGGAGGGCTCAGAGGGGACCATGTGGGGTGCGGGGGATCGAATCTGGGCTGGCCGTATGCAAGGCACGGCTGTGTGAAAATCACCGCACCTATTGCGCTATCGCTCTGTTCCCTGCCCCTCCGCCCCCCTTCAGGACACTGGACCCCTAATGTTCCCTTTCCCACAGCCTCCATTCATGCCACTTTGGCCCACTAGCTGTTCCTTCTCCCCGTTTGTTTCCACTCTCCCAGCCCCAGCATGTGCTCCTGGTGGGCAAGTGTTGCCCGGCTCTCATCAAACCCACACTTGACCGGCACATAGTAGATGCTCAGGAAGCAGCACCTCTGAGAAAGAGCACGATGCTCTGTTTATGTTCCTCCTGCGCAGCCCGGCCTCTGCCCTCCCTCAGGCCTTCCCCATCTGCCTCATCCTCTCACCCCAGCCTGCCGTCAGTGACCTGCCCCCCCCCCCACGCCCCCTTGGTCTCACAAGCTAGGAGCAACTTCAAAGGCGCTTCTGGGGCTGGAGTGATAGCACAGCGGGTAAGGTGTTTGCCTTGCACGCGGCCGACCGGGTTCGATTCCCAGCATCCCATATGGTTCCCCGAGTACTGCTAGGAGTAAGTCCTGAGTACATAAGCCAGAAGTAAACCCTGTGCATCGCCAGGTATGACCCCCCAAAAACCAAACAAACAAGCAAAAAAGAAAAGGTGCTTCTCTAACCTTGTCAGCGTGCCCTCACGCTCCTGCTTTTGTTTTGTTTGGGGGAGACCTGCCCAGCAGTGCTGGGAGCCCCGGGGCCAATCCCAGTGGTGCACAGAGATGGCAGGGCACAGGAGAACGGGCCCCCCAGGCCAGCCCCGCAGTGCTGAGGGACTGACTCCAGCACCACTCCTTGGAGTGATCTTCCTGGCCTGCTTTAGAAACCTCGAATGGGGTGCTCGCTCCCAAGGGCCACACCTGAAGCCCATGCCTCTCACCCACTCACAGCCTTTAAAGGGGTTGGTGGGGTCTGGGGCGATAGTACAGTAGGGAGGGTGTTTGCCTTGCACGCGGCTGACCCAGGTTCAATTCCCAGCATCCCACATGGTCCCCTGAGCACCGCCAGGAGTAATTCTTGAGTGCAAAGCCAGGCGGAACCCCTGTGCATCGCCGGGTATGACCCAAAATGCAAAAATAAATAAATAAATAAATGGGGTTGGTTTCCTGCACCCTCACTCCATATCACATGTTCTTCAGGGCACTGTCGCTGGATTGTGGCTGGACGGAGGTCACTGGCTGGTCCAAATTCTTGGTGGTGGGTGGCCGTGGATGTCCAGGCCTAGTTTCCCCTGCCTGAGAGCAGGCTGAGGGGGGGCAGGGATGGTGCTTAGCCCGCACTCCTAGCTAGGTCCCCCGCCTCCTCCTCCCCCACCTCTTCCTCCTCCTCTTTCCAGTACTCAGGCTGCTCTCTCCCCTCCCTGCCCCTCACCTCCCTGTGGACAGCTGTCTCCTTGGCCCGCTGATGGAGAGGGAAGGGCTGTGAGCGGGAGGGCGGCTCGGGGTGGAGAGCGGGGGGTGGTGAGACAGCAGAGAAGGGGCACAGCCGGGGTTGGACAAACGGCAGCAAAGTCAGACTTCCAGGACCAGGGTAGCGCTGGACAGACAGAGTCAGAGCCACACGGGGGCTGATGAAGAGGCCGGCCGCCCATGCCCACACTCGCTCAGTCACCTCTCATTCTGGTCCTGAGCAGAGGGTACCTCTCTACCCGCAGCCTGGCAATACTCAGGGCTTATTCCCATCAAACCCGGGTTGGCCACCTGCAAGGGCCTTAACCCCTCTACTCCAGCCCCTGCCCTGGGCAGGGACTGATTTTCTTTGGCCCTTTTGGTGATTCTAGAAGATGTCGGGGAACATGTTAGTAGAGCAAGGTTTGTCCGATGGATGAGACGGGGTGCACTGAACATACAGGGAGTGCAGCCTTGGAGGATGTGGCCAGGCAGAGGTCTGGGGGACAGCACAGAGCCAGGGAGAGGCCAGGGAGGGCTCCAGGGTAGAGTACCTGCTTGGTTCCATCCCAGCACTGCCCACAGGGCAAGTGGGGTCACCAGGAACACCTCAAAGTGTGTGATCTCTGAAACATGCTGGAGCATGTCTTGGTGTGTGACCCCCAGAGAACCTGGCAACCACAATTGGTGTGTGGGAACCCAGTCACCACGGCAACAGCATGGGTGTGTGTGAGTGTGTGAGAGTGTGTGTGTGTGTGTGTGTGTGTGTGTGAGCGTGCACGTGCGTGCATGCAATAGGCAGAGGGGATGGCGGCCAGAGAAAGGGTAGCAGTTAGGATAGGTGCCAAGTAGGCACTCAACCCCATTCAGTTTCCAGCACCCCCTGTACCGCCGAGGGCGGTAGTGGGGCAGGTATCCCCAGCACCATCACATTCTCGGTCACTTGCACTGAACCCACAGCCCGGTTGGCGGAGAATCACAGGAAGGACTTCCCCACCACCTCCTGAATTTCACTGGGGGTGCCCCTTCACCAAATAAGAAAAGGGGATGGTGTGGGCTAGGGGCTGGAAGGATTTGAGCCTCGGCCAGGGGCCAGTTGTTTCAAGCTGAGGGAACAAGCTGGCTGAACTAGGCGATGCCACCCCCGGGGCTGTGGCCGCTGCCTGGGGCCTGTCAGATGACAGTCATTTTGGATGGTGGCTTTGACAGGGCTCCTCTGGAAGGGCCCCTCCGCTGTCCCCTCTTCACTTCTGATGCCTGTAGGCACTAAGCAGGGGAAGGGATGGCCTCGGAGCCCAGGAAGGCCAGGAGCACAGGCCAGCACTAGACAGGGGCTGAGCATTCTCTTGCTCCAGGACTACCTTCGAAGCCTCCAGGGCCTTGGAGGAGACCCATTGTCCCCTCCCTGGTTGGGCACCTTGATTTGCCTGAGGGCATCTGGCAGATGCCCAGCGGGCCAGAGTTCCTGGCAATGGGGCTTAGAAACAGAGCTAACCCTCCCCTGAGGCAGCCAGGGGAGTGGCCTGTGTGTTCCAGCACTGGTGACCGGGAAGGGAAGCTCAGAAAGGAAAGGTGTGGCCATGGGTGCGGCCACTGCCCCGGTACCCCTCAGCTGGTGCCAACTGCTGGGGCATTCGGGAAGACCCCCCAGGACCAGCAACTCTTGGAGGATCTGAGGGCAGAAAGGGTTTCTTGGTGGAGGGTGGGGCCAGCCTCACCTCAGGTCCCAGCATCCTCCTCACTCTCTGACTTCTCCTCTCTCTCCCCCATGTCTGTCTGTCCGTCTGTCTCTCCTTCTGGTGGGGGAGGGGTGCAGCAGGGAGTGAGCCAGCTCTGGGCAACAGGGAGGCATGAATATTTCATGGCCTTTTGCAGCAGGAAGCGGGCCAGGCAGGGCCAGGCCACCTCAGCAGGTTGGGAAAAGGAAAACAGGAAGGGTGGAGGGTGGAGCCGTGGAGGCTCAGAGAAAGGGGGGTGAGGAGGGGGTGAGGCTGATGCAGGCCCGAGCTAAGCCCTCTCCCCACGGGCCCCAGGGAGCCTGGGATAGCAGTGCACCCCAGGCGCCAGCAATTCCTGGCACTGCTAGGGCACAGGGGATGGCAGGAGAGCCCTGAGAGGCTAAGGGAGTGGGAGGAGGGAGAGCAGGAGAAGGGGAGGGGAAGCCGGGAGTCCCTGGAGGCTGCACACAAGTCTGGAAGGGCCTACAGGGGGCTACTCCTGTCCCCACATCTCCCTCCATGTCCTTCCTCGGTCCTGTGCCCTCGGCCCACTGGGAAGTAGCCGTCCCACCCAGTGCATGCTGGGAAGCAGCCTTCTCTCCCAGTGCATGCTGGGAACTCGGCCCAGCCAGGATGCTCCTTACGACAGAGGAGCTCTACACGATAGAGACAGCATGGAGGAATGATGTGGATGCGGGGGTGCAGAGGGGATGCCTGGACTTGTACCCCAGTGATGTCTCCAACCTACCCCACTGGTCGGTTGGGGAGCCCGTGGCAGAGAAAGCTGTGCATTGGGTTTCCAGGAGCATCCACATACAGGGAGACTGGAGTTGGGAGCCCCACTAGTGCTGTGCTCTTTAAAGCCAGTTGCCATGGGGCTGGATAGCACAGCGGGTAGGGCGTTTGCCTTGCACGCAGCCAACCCGGGTTGGATTCCCAGCATCCCATATGGTCCCCTGAGCATCGCCAGGAGTAACTCCTGAGTGCAGAGCCAGGAGTAGCCCCTGTGCATCGCCGGGTGTAACCCAAAAAAGCAAATAAATAAATAAATAAAGCCAGTTGCCTCCACTGAGCACACACCCTTCTTAGCATTATTATGAGGGTCAATGGAATCACAGATGGTGACGCAGTGCCAGCCTTGTATCTGGCATGAGACAAGCACTTAATAAAATGGGGACACTGAGGCCAGAGAGAAGGTACAACGGGGAAGGCATTTGCCCTGCACACAGTGGACTCGGGTTTGACCCCCAGCATCATCCCATATGGTCCCCTGAGCACCACCAGGAATAATTCCTGAGTGCTAAGTGAGGAGTAACCCCTGAGCATTGCAGGGTATGACCCAAAAAACAAGGAAAAAATGTTTTTAAGCTTTAAAAAATGGGGATAGTAGGGGCTGGAGCGATAGTAGAGCGGGTAGGGCATTTGCCTTGCACGCGGCCGACCCGGATTCAATCCCCAACATCCAATATGGTCCCCTGAGCACTGCCAGGAGTAATTCCTGAGTACAAAACCAGAAGTAACCCCTATGCATCACCAGGTGTGACCCAGAAAGCCAAAAAATGGGGATATTAATTACTGCTGTCATTAGCAGAGTGGTGGCCAGATAGGGTGTCAGATCCCTGGACGCCCCCTACACACACACACATATGCACAGAAGCTCCTCAGAGAACCACAATCCCCTGATCCCAGGCAGCCCAGGAAGGAATACTGATTCACTGATAGCAATAGAACCATGCAAAACTTACCAAAAACCTCATCGGTGAGTTCTCGGAGTTTTGAGGAAGCCATGACTCAGGACGGCTGGAGAAAATGAAGGGGAGGGAGAGACCTGGATGAGTGGTCCTTACTGGAGGCAAAGATGCTGCCCAGAGGTCCCTGCCCCGGGGCCTTCAGGCCCCTTTCCTGTCCTCATAACTCCTCTTGGGTCCCTGAGAAGAGATGTCATCTGAACCATACCCCAGATCTGGGGGCGCTGGGGCAGTGGGCAGAATCAGTCCAGGGTGTGGACGCCAGGGAAGTGCTGTCTGAGTTGCTTCCCATGTGCCGTCACAGAGTCACTGAACTGCCTTCCCTGTCCTAGACCTTCCCAACATCAGCACTGCCTGAGCACCAATCAGCATGGAGAGTGGGACATTAAATCTGAGAACCACCATCAGACACATATGAAACCCATTGTTTCACAAGTAAACTAGCAGGAGAAGATGAGTAAGGCAGCTTCTCAGGTCAATGGCAAAATCAGGAGCAGAACACAAGTTCTGTCAGTCCATCCATCATCCATCCACACATCCATCTATCAGTCCATCCACACACCCATCCATCCATCCATTCATCCATCCATCCTTCACCCACCCATCCATCTGTCCACCCATCCACCCACCTACCCATCCATTCACCCACCCACCCATATACTTACCTATATACTTATTAACCCACTACTTGCCCATTCTTCCATTTATTCACTCTAACTGTCCACTTTGTTTTTACTAAATATTTGTTTATTTAGGGTTTTTAGGTCATACCTGGCGATGCGCAGGGTTTACTCCTGGCTCTGCGCTCAGGAACCACTCCTGGCATTGCTCAGGGGACGAAACGGAATTCTGGTGATCCAGCCCAGGTCGGTCACATGCAAGGCAAATGTCCTTACAGCTGTACTATCGCTCTGGCTCGCAGCTGTCCACTTTTATTCAACTGAACTGTCCATTTAGCCACCCATCCAATTTCTTTATTTTTAGAGGGGGGTCACACCCAGCGGTGCTCAGGGATTACTCCTGGCTCTGCACTCAGGAATTACTCCTGGTGGTGCTCAGGGGACTGGGATGCCAGGAATCGAACCCAGGTCGGCCATGTGCAAAGCAAATACCCAATCTGTTGTACTATCTCTCTGACCCTCACCCATCCAATTTCTGACCCTGTCCGTCCATCCATCCATCCCTCCAGCTTCTCTCACACGGTCCTGCTACCCTCCCATCCCTGATGCCTTGCCACCTGCCTGCCTTTCCAGACACGAGCTGCCCAGGAAGCTGGCACCCTGAGCAGGGGCCCCATTCTCCACACACAGCTCTGAGTCCCAGGCAGTTTCACAGAGGTCGGGGAGGATGAAACGTTTTCAGGGCAGAACCAGACCAGCCCAGTCTCCAGAATGCATCTCACATGGTCTGGGAAGAAATATGGAGAGATCTGGGCCCTGGCTATTTATTTTTTCTGGGAAACCAAAATGGATGGCAAGGAAGCAGGGTCTGTGTGGTGGGTCCCGGGGGGGGGGGGGGGGGGGGGGGGGGAGGGTGGGTAAGGCTTCCCAGAAGATGTGGGATTGCAGGGCCTGAAGCGCAGGTGCGGAAACACCAGGGAAGGAGGGAGGCCACGCTGCATGGCTGAGATTCTCAGGTCCCTGTGAGGCGGGCAAAGGCCCTGGGCTCTTCTGTGTGTTTCACCTTAGGAGAGAAGGGGAGCCAGGCCCACAGTCTTCATGGACCCCCCCTGCCCTTGGTGAGCTGCCCAGGCGCAAGATTCTGAGCAACTCCAATTTACAGATGGGGAAACTGAGAAGCAGGAGATCAGAAATAGAATTTAGCCTTGACTTCCGGTCTCTGGGTGCTCACCCAGAGACCTTCTGCCTTTGGGAGAGGGAAGGGCCTTTGGGAGAGGACTGTTCAGAGGATTTTCAATGGCTGGGACATACCCACCAGGACTGGGATATCTTGAAACTATCTCCACCTCCTACCCCATGGTGCTGGGGGCTGAAAGCAGGAGACCAATGCATGAAGGGGCTCGACCAGGCCTTCTAAGATCCCTCCTGCTATCCTTAATCTCCAGGTGGTCACAAAGGAGAAACCCCCAGACTTCTCTGCCACTCAGAGGGGCCAGGTGAGAGGAGGGGCTGCCTCCAAGACAGAATCAAATCCATCCTGCAGCCACTGAAAGTCCTCTGGCCAGGATCCCATGGGCCTCTTCCAGAAAGCACTCCTAGGCAGCCCTTCTCCCACCTGTCCGCCTGCATGCTTCTAAAACCCATCCTTGCCCTTGGTTCCCTTCAGGGAACCATCCTTTCCTCAAGTGGAAGGGCCAGTCTTCACCATCAGACTAGGGGGTTCTCTGAGGATAAGAACACTGCCCCCCCCCCCCCCAACGCATCAAAACAGAGGCTGTGCCCCCCCACCCCCGCCCCCAACGCATCAAAACAGAGGCTGCCTGAGTGCTGGAGGCAATCCCTCTCCTAGACCACCTAAGAATGGAGAGCCCTGGGGTCTGGATTCAAGCTCCCAGCTGCTACACTGTCCTATGAGGTGCCCGGGAAGTAGGACAGCCAGGAGGCCATCAGCTTTCTCCCACCTTTCAAAACCCAGCCTGGCACGGGGCCAAAGCAATAGTACAGCAGACCTGAGTTCAATCCCCAGCGCCGAGCATCCCAAATGAAATGGTCCCTTAAGCACCGTCAGGAGTGATTTCCTGAGTGCAGAACCGGGAATAAGCTGAGAGCATCACAGGGTGTGCCCCCACCCCCACCCCCCAGCTTGACAAATCTCTCTCTCTCTCTCTCTCTCTCTCTCTCTCTCTCTCTCTCTCACACACACACACACACACACAAACTCATCACCGCATACAACCACACACACACTTACACACGCACGCCAACCAGGCAACTGCCAGCCAGCAAGTGGAAATGAACTTGTTGTGCAGGACACAGCCAGGCTCCCCGGCACCAGGCCACTCCCTTCCCCCCAAAGCTTCCAATTCCCAGGGGTGCATATGACCTTTGGCCTCTTCTGGGGCTCCCAGAGTTTGTCGGGGACCCAGGGGAGGCAAGCCAGAAAGGGTTTGCGGAGGGGGTGGAGGGCAGGGGCAGCAGGCAGGCTGGAGAGGAAGGGGGGGAAGGGGCAGGAACTGGGCAGTGAGAGGGGATCCGGGAGGACTGGGGGAGGGGGAGAGTCCCGGAGGGGGAGCCAGAGGAGAGGGACCCCGGAAGAGAGGAGAGCCAGGGAGCGCCAAGGGGTCCTGGGCAAGGCCGGGGCAGAAGAGCGGAAGCGGGGTGGGGGCGGGGCGCGGGGGCAGCGCTGAATCTGGAGGACGCAGTGCTGTCTGGGGGTCTCAGACCAGAGTGGGAAGCCCCCCCCCCCGGGGGGCCCAGAGGCGAGGTGCACAGGCGCCTCTGCACCTCCAGGGCCGCCCCCTTCTGAAGCAGGGCTGCGAGAGTCTCTCCCCCCCAGACAGGAAGGAGTTAAGCCGCTCCCCCTCCCCCCACGGCAGATTTTTTATTAATTTCTGCTGTGGGGCGGAGGGGCAGGATTAGGGGGCGAGTCCCATCTCCGCCCCCTCCCCTGTCAGGGGCACCCTCGCGGGCCGGCGGGGACCCAACCCACTAGAAAGGCCCCTAGCTCGGACCCAACCCACTCGCGCGGCCCCGCGTGGCCGGCGGCCGGGGGTCGTGGGGGGGTCCTCGGCCCCTCACCTCCAGCATCAGGCATCTTCAGCGTCGGGCGCCTCGGGAGCCCCTCGGGCCCATGGTGCTGGCGCGGGGGGCGCGGCGGGAGAGGGGCGCTGGGGGGGCCCGTCACCCCGGCCGCGGGGGGCTCCGCGCTGGCTCCGAGGGCTCCATGCCGCGAGGAGGGCGGAGGTCGGCGAGGAGGGTCCTGAGCGCGCGGCGGGCGGGGAGGGGGCGTGGGGAGAGCGGGGAAGGTTTGCGGGAAGCGGCGGGCGCGGGCGGGGCTGGACCGGAGAGCTGGGGAGGAAGGATGCTCCGTGCGTGCGTGCGTGTGTGCGTGTGTGTGTGTGTGTGTGTGTGTGTGTGCGCGCGCGAGCGGCGGGAGGGCGAGAGCGAGGGAGAGGGGGAGAGAGCGAGCGAGCAAGAGAGGGAGTGAGTGCGCGCGCGCGCGAGAGCAAGCAAGAGCGAGAGAGCGCGCACGAGAGAGAGCGAGCGCCACCTCCCCCCTCCCCGCCAGGCCCCGCCGGACGCGGCGGTGGGGGGCCGCCGGCGGGCGGATGTGCGTTGCGTCGGCGGGGGTCCCCCGCGGGAAGCGGCGACGCAGGGGGCGCGTGGCGGGGAGGCCCGGCGCAGGGGAGACAAAGAGCAGGCGGGCCGGAGGGGGGCGGAGGCGCAGGAGCGCCTAGCCGGGAGGAGGCGCCCCGCGCCGCCCCGGGACCCCGGGCTGGCCAGTTGCCGCTACTCCGTGGCCTCGCGGGAGACCGCGCGGAGACCCCCGGGGGGCTTCGGGGGCTTCGTCTGGGTCTGGGTGCGCCCCAGATCCCTCCGTTCGGCAGCCGCCCTGCACCTCTCGGCCGAGTGCGCCCAGGTCCGCGGGGGGACCAGGGCCAGGCCATCCTCCGGGCTGGCGGTGTTGGGGGAGACGCGAGCGAGCTGGGTGCCAGGGCCCGTGAATCTGGTTCACAAAGGACACTTAGGAGCCGGGAGGCGCCTTGCGGCGGTGGTGGGGGAACTGGGGGGTGAGGGTGCACCAGGAGTGACCTGTTTGGCTACTTGCAGGTGGGGGTAGGGAAGAAGCACTAGGGAGACTGGGACGAGTGGGCAAGAGGAAGATGAGGCTGCGGGGTGCAGGAAAGGAAGGAAGGTTTGCGCCCTGCCCTAAGGGGCGGGGGCAGATAAGCGAGCTCAGGCTTGCAGTGGAGGAAAAGCAGCTCAACTCTTCAGCCTGGAGGTAGGGAGGCGCTCAGATGCGGCTGGAGGCTGTACAGATCCCACATCAAGTGAGAACTAACCAGGCTGGAGACAGTGACAGGACAGGCACCAGCTGGACCCGGGAGGAGGGGTGAGTGGGGGATAGCTGTAGGTCTTGGCACACGGCCAGGAGCAGGAGCACAGGAGGCAGGCAGAGTGGCAAGGCCAGGGAGGTTTGTGGATGTATGGATGTATGAGATCATAGTGGATGTGGAGTGCTGAGGTGGGCAGTATGGATGTGTGTGTGTGTGTGTGTGTGTGTGTGTGTGTGTGTGTGTGTGTGTAAGAGAGAGAGAGAAATCCACCTGGAACACTGAGGTGTACATGTGCACGTGACTGCATGTGTGTGCAGGAACATAAAGGCGTGCCTGTGTGTGCATTTGTGCATGTCTGTGTATGTGTCTGTGCAAGAACATGTGCGTATGTGCAGGTGGTATGGGCAGAAATGTGCGAGGATGCATACATGTATGCATGAGTTTGTGTGTGCAAGAAGTGGGACATGTGCATGCATGCATGAGTGTGAGTACATGTGTATGTGGATGAGATCAGACTAGACATGGAGAGCTGAGAGGGCAGTGTGTGAATGTATGTGAATGTGAGAGAGAGAGAGAGAATGTATATATAAAATCCAATTGGAGAACCAAGGGGGCTGTGTGTGTGTGTGTGTGTGTGTGTGTGTGTGTGTGTAAGCTCAGACTGGACATGGGGAGCTGAGGGGCCATTGTGTGTGTATGTGTGTGTGAATGTGAGAGTATCTGTGTATGTGTGTGAGCACAGACTGACATGGAGAGCTGAGGGCCAGTGTGTGTGTGTGTGTGTGTGAATGTGTGTGTATGTGTGTATAAGCTTAGACAACATGGAGGCTAAGGGGCAGTTTGCACTTATGTGTGAGTGTATGCAGTGTATGAGATCACAGTGGATGTGGAGCACTGAGGTGGGCAGTGTGTGTATGTATACGTGTGTGTGTGTGTGTGTGTGAGCTTAGACTGGACATAGAGGCTGAGAGGCAGTGTCTGTGCACATGTGTGCACACATATGTGTATGAGATCACAGTGGATGTGGAGTGCTGAGGTGGGCAGTATGTATGTGTGTGTGTGTGTAAGAGAGAGAGAGAGAAATCCACCTGGAGCATGAGATGGACTGACTGTGAGTCAATAAAATCAGAATGGATGTGGAGAGTTGTGGGACAGCCCAGCCAGGGGGTCATGTCACTGTCCCCACTGGGAATGGCCAGGCTGTCCTAAGTTTCTCCTGTCACCTGCTTTGTGATCCCAGGGGGTGGGTGTTTCTATGATGTTTTAGGATAAGGACACAAAGACTTAGAAAACTGAGTGCAGTGATCAAGATCCAGAGGGGGGGTCTAGAACTCAGGGGAGGGTCTCCACATGGGAGTCCAGGTTGAAGAGGGTCTCTGTGTCCATCCCTGAGTGGCTGCAGGGGGTGGCAGGATAAAGCAGGATGGGAAGGGGAACAGAATGAGTAATCTTTAGGACCGAAAGTGTCTAAGGAGACCTAGGAGCGTCCTTGGAATGGCCTGTCCTTCACGGGCGGCTGGCTGGGTGATGGAGCTGAGGTGGCATCTCAGGGACAGCCTCTGGGGGTTCTCTGGGATCCTGAACGATGCTATTTTGCATCATCTGGTGAGATCTGGGTGTGTACCGTAGCAGGATTGACCCATAGCTTTCTGGATCCTGAGGGTGTGAAATGTTGAAATGGTGCAGGGGCAGGAGGGCACAGGGAGTGTGTGTCTCTTCTGGGCTGGAGGTCCAGGGAGGGCTCCATTCCCCTCAATAACCTTAGTTTCGGGGAACTGAGGAAGCCCTTTATCTGATTTCCCTCTCCGAGGGCAAGGGCTGGGGTTATGGCACACCTCCAGCTCCCAGGACTCGGGCGGAAACAGGGCTGAGCAGAGGTGACAAGCTGCCCATGGTCCAGCCCGTCGTCACTAGACAGAGCCCCAGACATGGGCGTGTCATATGGATGAGTCACACTTCAGGCCGGAGACAGCAGAAGCCAAGCCACAAACAGCATACCAGCCACACATGGCTCAGGCTTAGTGGGGGCAGCTCCTTGGTCCCCCTTTTGGAAGTCTGAAGGTCCCTCACCCAATGGGGACAGATGGGGGCCCTTTGGACCCCCCTGAGTACTTAGACCAGCGGAAGGCCTCACTACAACCCTGGGCTGCCCTCCCCCCCCCCCCCCCCCCCGAAAGACCCGACCACCCTGTTTCTTGGCACATCTTGGGCAGGGTTCCTGTGTAGGCAGGACTTGCATCCTCTCTGGAGTCACAGATTAAGGTGTGTGGCCTTCGGATTGGGGTTTTAGCCACCTACTTGTCATGGCTGCTCAGAGAAGAGCCCAAAGCAGCCTGATCCCCCTCCCCAGGTTTCCAGGTCAGCTCTGGTGGGTGGCAGGTCTTAGGTGGCACCAGAACTACCAGTTTTGAGTGGAAGCTACAGGAAGCCAGATCGTGGCTTAAGGTAACAGCCACAGGGAGCAGCTGCCTCCTGGATTGCCATGGGAATCCTGGGTTGGCAGAGACCCCTCAGATGTTGGAGACTCCTGTTCCTGCTGGTAAGGGGCAAAGGACAGTAAGCCTCCCCAGGAGAGCAGGCCAGGGACCCCACGTGCTTCCTAGCTTCCCAGCAGCCACAGCCAAGGGCGGGTGCTTGGCACAGCCAGAACCTCGGCCCAGATTCCCTTCTGACTCTCCCTTCTCCCTGACATGACACCAGAACTGGCCCTGGGCTTGGACCCCCGCGTCTGCAGTCCCAGAGCAGAGGCATCCGAGCTGACAGCGGCCGGCGTGAGCAAGCTGACTGGCCACACAGCAGATCCCCACCCCACCCCCCTTGAATCTGGGAACAAAACAGCCCTTACTCCTTCCCGGCCATAGCCATGTCCCTCACAGGCTGGGATTGGAGGCCTTCGCAGGGAAGGGACTTGGGGGCTCCAACCCTTACCATTTTTAACTCTGCCTCTGATTTCCATCAGAAGGCTTGTTAGAAAGATGCAGTCAGGGGCCGGAAAGACGGTGCAGCAGGTAAGGGGCTCGCCTTGCTCGCGGGTGATCGATGCAGTTCCTAGCATCCCATATTGTCTTGTGTGCACCACCAGGAATGACAACAGAGCACAGAGCCGGGGCTAACCCCAAAGCCTGATCGACAGGCGTCGCCCAAATTCCATTTAAAAAAAAAGCAAGCCAGAATTCTCTCGTAAGCCCCGCCAGTTAACGCACAGGTACCGAGAGGAGGGACAGAGGCGGCACGCTCCCCGGCGCGTCAAGAAACCAGGCGCAAGGCTCTGGGGGCGGCTTTTATGGGGACAACCTGACAGAGGGCATGGTCCGTACAAAACCGGGAACAATACATACATATATATAGTATATACAGAGACGCGGCCCCGCGGAGGCGGCCGGGCGGGCGCCCCGGCGCAGGCCGGAAGCGCCCCGCGGCCCCGCCCCCTCCGTCCGCCGGGGCGCAGGAGGTGAAGTGCGCGCGCCCCGCGCCCGCGCTTCCAGCGGTGGGGCACGTCGGGACTGGAAGGGGTGCGGTGGGGGCAGAAATACTGATCCATGGCCGGGTCTATTTACAGGGGGGGTGGGGGTTGAAGCCTAAACGGACGGGACCTGGGGAGGAGGGGGGGACGGGAGAGGAAGGTCTGTTTTTAAAAAATGAACCCAAACCAAGACGGTGCAGGGGCGAGGAGAGGAGGGTCGCGGAGAGGAGTCAGAAGGGGGAGGGGACCTGGGGCGGGGTCACACCTCCCTTGGTCCAAGCCCCAATTTGGGGTTCAAGTGGGGAAACGGAATCGATTTCACTAGAAAGCAGGCTGCAGCAGGGCGGCCCTGGTCTCCAAAAAGATGAGAACTAGTAAAATTTTTGCCCTCCAGTCAAAACACGGGAAAAGAGTGGCAGGGGTGGGGTGCGGCTGGGTCATGGTGTTAGTACAAGGCTTCCAGGTGTGGCCCCGCAGGGCAGGGCGGCCCCCCTGTGATGGAGACCAGCCTGAGCTGACCCCCTCTCCTCCCTGGCGTTCACAGGCTCGACCAGGGACCCTGGGCCCCAGAGAGGCCGCAGAAGTTTCAGGAGGAGGTTATGGCTATTTGGCACCTGGGAGAGGGGAGGCACAAGGAGAAAACTGAGGACTGCTGCCCCGGGAAAGGAGAAGTGGGGGACCAGGTGTCCTGGAGGCCCCGCCCCCTTTCCTACTCTCACTCCCCTTTTCCTGAAGGATACAAGAGTGTCAGTGCAGGGCCTGGCTCTGGGGGGGACGCTCCCTCCAGCAGGAGGGTGGGAATGAACACACAGCACAGGGAAGGGGGCAGGGAAAGGGCCCAGAAGGGGGCGTCTCCAGTCCAGAGGCCCAGGGGCAGGAGCAGCGTCCAGGCGGTGAGATGCTGGAAGAGTGCCCGGCCCCCTCCAGTCCAGAGTCGAAGGCTGGAGGCTGGCAAGTCTGGCAGTTTGGTCTGCGGGTCCTTGTGTCCATCCACCATCCAGGCCAGCCCTCGGCAGCCTGCCCGGAAGCGGAGCTTTCCGAGCAGTCGCCCGCTTGAAGGGGCCTGTGCTAGGCCTGCTGGTCCCTGAAGCTGGGGGGCGGGGGAGGGGGTGTCGGGGCACCTGTCCCCAGGCTGGCAGGGGTGGGGTGGGGTGTTGAGGACAGGGGAGGGAGGACAGAGGGAGGGAACTCCTGATGTCCAGTCTAGGAGTGCTTCCTGTTAAGTGGAATTGGAATTCCGCAACGTTTGCAGGCTTCCTTCCAGTTCTGAGATCTGGAAAACGAGGAGGAGAGGGAGTGAGGCTTCCCGGGGACCTTTTCTCCCTTCAGAACCCGGATGGGGTGCCGGCTGGAAGCTGCCACCAGGCCTACCTTGTCCAGGAGCTTGTCCATCTCCTCCTTCCTTGCCAGCTCCGACTCCTCCAGCACCCGGCGCTGGGCCGTCTCCTTTTTCAGGAACTCAATCTCCCTGGGGACCCGGGGAGAAGGCGACAGAGAGCAGTGAGGGGGAGTGGTGCTCTAGCAGGGGTCCTCAGCCCGGCCCCCCAGCCCGGATCGCTCCACCCCTTCTCCTCTCCCTGTGCTCCAGAGGCTTCCCTGGGCCTCCTGGAGCTGCTGTGCTGCCTCTGATGCCCATCTAGTCCAGGTCAGTGGGGGTGAGGAGGCGCCCGCCGTAGTCCTGGGCCACGTACTTCTGCTGGTAGTCCTTGATGAGGCGCTTGGCTTTACTGTACTTGCGCTCCAGGGCCTGGTACTGGGCCTGCGTCTCCCGCAGGTGCTCGTCCACAGCCTGGCACAGGCTCTGGGCCTCGCCCCAGTAGCCCTCCAGCTTCTCCATGCGCTCCTTGTTCTCCTCCACGCTCTGCTCCAGCTGCGCCTTCTCTACCCGCCACCGGCCCTTTTCCTGCTCAAGGCTCTGCAGCTGAGAGAGGAAGGAGCACCACTGGGTTGGAGGGAGGCAGAGGGGAGCCCAGGAGCACCCCCATCCATCCTGGCACCGACCAGTCCCGGGTGCAGACCTGGAGCCCACCCACTCGCAACGGCTGAGCCTGAGAACCGAAACCCAGAGAGGGAAGGGGTGGGCCTCAGCTCCCAGGTGAGTGGGACCACACTCCAGAGATGCAGAAGGCCTGGGCTAGGTCCTGACCAGCCTGGCAGCTTACAGGAGGCAGGGGCTGCATTTGGCCTCTGCACTGCCATCTGCAGGACAGGCACACTGTGTCTGAGCCAGGCCTGAGGGCTGCAGTGGGCTGGCAAAAGGAAGGAGCAGAGCGAGGGGCCCCTCTGCAGCTCTGCTTCTCAGGCCTGACCTTCCTGCGAGGCCCCATGAGGCCCAAGGACACCGCAGCCACCCTGGCATTCCGGCTCTGCCTCTCCCTTACACAGTCCGGGGGTGTCTCCCCCGCCCCCCGCCATGAAGACTCTGCCTTCTGCCTGGGACCTGCATGGTGCTCTCAGGTGAACCTACACTCCTGAGGGCGCCCAGATACCCTCTGTGGCCCCACCTCTCCCTGCCACCTGGGCAGCCTTGGGTCAGACACGGCCTGTGTCTGACAGACTTGGCATCAGAGGCCCGTGAGCATGTGTGCCTGGAGCGGGCTGGCACCCAGAGTACGTGTAGGCGTCTGTGGAGGGTATGTGTGTGATTCTGATAGTGCATGTGTGTGCCACCATCTGGCAGCGCCGGCACCTCGCCTGTCCTGGGACTCTCCTGCGCCGTGACGCTGTCTGAGCATCTCGTAGCTATGGGGTGAGTAGCGGGAGCTCTGCAAACCCGGGCCTGCGTGAGGCAGGGCTGCTGGGCTCCAGGTGTGGGGTGAACAGGTGTGTGGGTGCCTGAGGCTATGTTCCTGCCAGCATGTGTGTGTGTACACGTGGGTGTGTACCTGTGCATACACATGGGTATGTGTACCTGTGTACACACGTACATGCATGCATTCACACATGCTCTGCCTTGATCTCTGGGCCCAGATGAAGTGGGTTTGTGGACAGTGTGGACCTGGGTTTCACAGTTGACACTCAGTTCTCTGCACACACAGAGCGGGCACTGGGCGGGCTGGAGTCTATGTGGTGGATTTGCTTCCGGGCAGCCCTTGGTGCCACTGTCACTGAGGCACATGTGAGGAGTTTATGGGTGGACACTGGGCACAGAGCAGGAAGCTTTTCTGAGCACCCTACTGCCCACCTCGGCCGAGCTGCCGGGCACGGAGGTGGCGGACACATGCCTCTGTGAGTGTGTGAGACTGAGGGAGGCGCCCGCAGACCCCGTGCCCACCCAGGCAGCCTCACCTTTCTCTTCAGCTGCTGGATCTCTGCCTCCGTCACGGCGTGCTTGATCTGGAGCTGTTGGGGGAGAGCAGGGGCATCAGCTCTGCTGGGCTGGCCGCGGCCACTGCCCGCCCCTGGCCCCCGCATCCCACCTCCTTGAACTTGTGCACCAGCTTCTCTGGCTCCATGTCCACCGGGGACAGGGCGTCCTCGTTCTCTGCCAGCTCAAACACCTCGATGGCCATCTCGCCTCCGGGAAAGGTGGGGCTCAACTCCTCGTCCTCATCGGTGGCATACTCTCCTGTCTGCAGAGGGAGAGGGGCAACAGGGGCCAGCACCCCCCTCTCCCTCAGCTCTCACAGCAGTGGGGTCACCCTGGGGCCTCCCTCAGACCGGCCCCCTGCATGCACAGGCACTCATGAGGACCTCCTCCAAACAGACTGGCCGTTTGTGGCCCTCACACTCTGGGTCTTGGGATCTGGGCTGCTCCCTCAACCCGGGTCCTCTGAAGGGAGTTTTGATTGGGTTTCCGCTTAGTGGGGCCCAGAGGGAACGGACATCTCCTTGCAGGGCCAGGAAGGCTTAAAGCAAAGTGTCCCTTCTGTCAGACTAGTGGTCCTTTGCGGGAAGGGTCTGCATGCCCTCCCTCAGTTTGGGGTATCTCCAGGAGGGCGCCCTAGACTGGGGGTGCTTTGTGTGGCCACCAGGGGGCGGTGGCGCTGGCCGCAAGGCTGGGAGTCCTTACCTCCTCGTCATCCTCCCCATACTGGGCATACCGCTGCTCCATCATCTCCCGCTGCCATCGCTCCTGCTCCAGAGTCTGCTGAATTAGCTGGGCCACCTCACTCTGCTCGCCTGGCCGTTCTCTGCCAATCATGAACCTGTAGGGGCACCAGTGTTACCTCGGGCAGGATCCCACCATGCCTCTTCAGGGCCGACCCTGTCCCAACCAGGCCCTCCCAAGGGAGGTGAATGAGAGGGCTGGGTCCCGAGGCCACCGAGTTAATAATGCACGGAGGAAGACGGGCCCTTACTGGGTTTCCTTCCCCAGAGAGCCCAAGGGCCACTGGCCAGTTCTGAGGACAGGCAGCCAAGACTGGGTCTGGGAGCTGCCAGGCTTTTCCCAGGGACTGGAGGGGCCAGGCTGTGGAGGTGTGTCTGGAGGGCACCCCAAGGCCCCGAGTGTCAGGAAGGGGCGGGATGATGGCCACTGGAGACAGGATGCAGAGGAAGCAGGGGGACTTCCAGGCCCCAGTCCTGCTCTCCATGGCCACCCACATCCTGTTTCTCTCCGCCACCCTCCCCTGGGGTCAGGGAGTGGTCCCCAAAAGCCACAGGAGCAATGGACACAGGGCTTCTAAGTAGCCCCTTTCTGAGTCCCCTGGACCACTAGCTGGCAAGGAAGGAGGGAGGAGGTGCCCAGTGGGGACCCCAATCTGATGGCATTTTCCTCTCCTGCTGGTTCTCTGGCAACAGAAACCAGAGGGCTGTTTGGAGGTGCCGTGGATGGTGGGCGTTGACCAGCCTCCTGCCCGTGGAGCGCCCCCCCCGCCCCCCGTGGCGCTTTGTCCTCACCGCACGCGGCCCTTGGTGTTCCGGAGCACGGAGGCCGCGAAGCTCTGTGTCACTCCCACCAGACTTGTCCCATCCACTTCTACCAGGAGGTCATTCACCTGGATCCTGGGGGAATGACACAGGGTGAGGGACGGCCCCAGGAAGCACAGGGACCTGGACCTGGTCTGGCTGTGAAAGGAGCGAGTTTGGGGAGCAGGGAGCCCCTGCAGCACGCGGCCAGGAGCCGGTACAGGCTGCCCCTGCCAACAGCACTCGATCCCCACCCCTCACCTACAGCAGCATGGCAGCCCACGGTTCCACCCACACCCCCCATCCTTACACTGCTGCTCAGACCCACCCCCGGATGCCTGGGACCCAAGTATGCCACTCTCAGGACACACCAGGGGTGCCGCACCCTGATAAACCGCTCTGGTGGCTCCTCACAGGGTGGGGGGCCCTGGACACCTGAGGGTCCTCGTCCCTCCCTCAACTCAGGCCTCCCTTAAGGCTCCCATGGGGAAGCGACCATGTTACCCCTGGGAACAGCCTGCCCCAAGTGTCACACATGGGCCCCGGCTAGGGGACACACATTCGAACGTGCTCACATACTCCCACAGGGAGTACAACCTCCTGTCCCCTGCCCCGTCCCCACACCATCTGTCCACCACTGAGCCTCCGAATGAGGCCACCCACCTCTAGCAGCTTTTTGGGTTTCTGTCTTTTGGGCCATACCTGGAGATGCTGGGGATGAAACCCAGGTCCCCACAGGCAAAACGTGTGCTCTAGCCCTGCCTCTTGGCCCCCAGTCACCCAGCCCTCACAGGGACACCGCTCACCTATTACACAAAGGGATCTGAGATTAGATATAAAAGCCCTGCTCACAATAATCCTGGTGTGGCCCCAAAGTCCTCCCACTGCAACACACACACATACCCGACCTCCACACACACCTACATACAGATTTCATATACACATACCAAAGCCTACATGCACACACACCAACACACCAGCCTTCATCACACACCACAGCCTTCATACACACACACACACAGACACACACACACACACACACACACACACAGTCTGCCAGCTTCCTCCAGGTGGTTCATCAGGAGGGTGAACTCCTGAGGGCACCGGGCCTCTGCCATGATCACTGCAGCAGCCCCAGGTCTACACCAGCACCTGGCACCGGTATGTTTCCCAAACATTTTCACCTACCCCAGGGTAGGGCCTCCCACCCAGAGATGCCAGAGGATCTCACCTGCCATCGCGGTGGGCAGCGCCTCCTTCAGTCACGGTCTTCACGAAGATGCCCAGCTTCTCGAGGCCCATGTCTGCCCCCGCACCCATGCCGATGATGCTGATGCCCAGGCCCTCCGAGTCTGTGGGCAGAGGGCGGGCATGCAGAAAGCAGGGACGGGGCAGGGCAGGGTCCCCACCCTCACCCAAGGCAGCCCCCAGCTCAGGAGATGTCTTCGCGGACAGGCAGGGGTTCTACCCACACCCTCTTGGCCAAGCCAACCAGATTTTAGGGCCCCTTCCTCTCTGCCTGAGGCCCAGAGTGTAGGTCCCTCCTGCCTTTTCCCTCACCCCAGCTGTCCCCACCACTTGCAAGGAGGGGGGCTCTTTGCCCACAGCCAGAATCTGCCCAGCACCTCAGCCATGTGCGGCCACCCTTGGGGTCACCTGGATTCCTCCCTTCCCGTCTAAGCCCAACCACCACACCCTGCCTGTTCTGTCCCCCAGGGGCCTTTCCTGTGCTGCCCGAGTCTGGGAGTCTCCCCCCTCCCCCATCATGGCCTGCTTTTGGGGGTCTTTCTAGAACACCTTTCCAGACCTCACCGTGGCTCCCATCCACTTTAGGAAAGCAAACAGCCTTCCTGGGGAACACGAGACGTGGGAAGCAGGCTGGGCCCCTCACCGTCTGAATCCAGTCACGCCTCTCTCCTTCCTCCCAGCCTGAGTTCCCCTGTTCCTCAGCAACTGACTTGGGGTAAACGCCACAGCCCCCAGCCCTGATCCCGCATAGCTGCCTCCTGCAGGGCGTCCTGAGGTGAGGGCCCTGCTGGGAAGTACTCCTGACTCTGTGCTCGGCAGTCACTCCCAGGGGTTTTGGGGGGAATCGTGGTGTCACAGCTTCTGCATGCAAGGCCCATCCCTCTCTGGCCCTGAGAAATCCTGCTTTTGCAGGCGGTGGTCTGGCCAGCACAGAGCCCAGGAGCCCTGGAGCTGCCCAACCCTGCAGGACGGCGGAGACCCCACGACCAGTCCCCCTCTTACCTTTCTCCAGCTCCACGGGGAACAGCTCCAGCCTCTCCACCCGCTTCTCCAGCTCATACTCGGCGGACGCCGCCATGGGGTCCACGTCCTCGTTGCGCCGGTCATAGTCCTCATTGGAGTAGGTGCTGAATACCTGTGGGTGCAGCCCGTTAGAGGGGTCCCAAGAGCGGGGGACCCACATTCACATACACACACAAGCACATACATATACGCACACACACTCTTGCAATGGCTGAGAGCGATGAGAACCAGCACACACACACACACACACACACACACACACACACACACACACACGATGACTAAAAGTAGAGTGACCAGCACCCACTCACAGATACACACTCATGATGGCTGAGTATAGAGGGACCATACACACACACTCATGATGGCCGAGAGCAGGGGTACCAGCACCCACACGCACAGACATATACACCCACATACACACACACACACACATATACACTCATAATGGCTGAGAGCAAAGGCACCAGCAGCCACACTCACAGACCTATACATACACACACACACACACACACACACACACAATGGCTGAGAGCAGGGGGACCAGCACCTACAAGCACAGACATATACACCCACATATACACACTCACGATGGCTGAGGGCAGGGGGCCCAGCACCCACACGCAGACATATACACCCACAGACACACACACACACACACATGATGGCTGAGAGCAGGGGGACCAGCACCCACCCCCACACACACATATACATATATACACACTTGTGGTGGCTGAGAGCAGGGAGGACCATCGCCCACACTCACACACAGTGGCTGGGAGCAGAGTAGAGCAGCATTCATACACACACACACACACACACACACACACACACACACCCAGAGGCGGTAGGCAGGGCAGACCAGCACTCATACACCCACTCGCACACACACAGAGCAGCAGAGAGCAGGCCAGAAAAGGGCAGACCAGAACCCACAATCTCACACACCACCCCAGAGCTGGGGAGCCCTTCCCACACCCCAGGTGACCCCAAAGACCACGAGCAGAAGGGGCCAACTCGCACCCTGACTCCTACACCCAGACCATTAGTGGGCACACCAGGAGAAAAGGAACAGGCCATCCTAGGGGCATCCAGCTCAGAGCCCAGGTCCCCAGCACTCAGGGAGGCACACAGCCATAGAAGAAGCAGAACAGCTAGAGTAGGAGGGGGAGTGAGACCCCAGGAGGGCTCGGAGGTGGGCAGGCTGATGGTGGAAGGGCACCCAGGAGCTCCTGTCCTGAATCTCTAGCCAAGGCTGGGGTGAGGGCCACCGCTCCTCATGGCCAGGGGCCCCAGGATTCGGCCTCATGGCCAGGCCTGGATCACTCCAGACTCTGCTCCGGTATCCCCAACCCCGGGGACACAAGGGGGCCCAGGCAGGTAAAGACCAGGGAGGCATCAGGCACGATCAGTCCACAGTGACTCTGGCTCCAGGGGACCCCGGTCAGCTCTGCCTGCTGGCCCTGCCCGCTATCTCGACCGAGTGGTCAGGAAGGCTCTGAGGAGGGTCGAGCACTGGGCCCAGACAGAGATGCCCTCAGCAGGAGGTGAGTGAGCACCACTCGGGGTCCCGGACACGTTTGTGCTTCACTGCCTGCAGTGACAGGCTGGCACCACTTGGAGCCAAACGGGGGCGAGGCTGGGTGAGGGCAGCGCTAAGAGGGGGGAGGCTGGCTGCAGGTCTGAGGCGCTGGGAGCAGGCCCACGGGCACCCTGGCCTGCATCCTGGTGCCCAGGGTTTGGTCTGGGCTTGCTCAGTGTCACCAGCTGCCCCTCCCCCCCCACCGGAAGCTTGCTCTCGGGCACAGGCGGGTGGGGGTGCTCCCAGGGTAAATCCTGAGCTGCCTCTAAACTTCACTGCCCTCAATTCCTCACACTAGAGAAAATGGCACTCAGGCCTGAAAGTTCCTTGGCCCTCGGGCAACAGCCCCCCGGGGCATGGTCACCTGGTGTGCAGTGCCAGCTCCAAGGTCACCTGCGGTGCCTGGCCAGGCCCTGGCAGACGAGTGGCACTATCCCACTACACGGCAGGGGTGCCCCGGTCTGGGGACAGGGCTGCTGACATGCACCACTGGGTTTGGCCCACTTTCCCATCCGAGTCCCTGCCTGTCACCCTCTGCTCTAGCAGATGGCATCCTCCTTTCATCAGTTTTTAGGGTGATCCGATCACCCAAACTTCTTCCGGGCATATATGCGTACATGCACGCACACACACACACATACACACACACACACACACAGAGCAGCGCACATGCTCACGCTGTGACCTCCAAAACAGCCCCACAGCTCCCCTTTTCTCAGCCCACCACACCCTACCCCCACAGGAATCCCGGCGTGAGCCCCAGACCCCTCCATGGTGCACTGCTTCATGCCTATCCTCTCAGAGGCTCTGCCCCATCCTCTGAACTCATCACAGTCTGGTCCTGTCCTCCACCAGGGCCAGAACTGGGCCACTGGAGTCAAGATGCTGGACACAGTGTCCCAGGAGAGATGGGCAGGGAGAAGGGAAAGCCCCACCGCCCCCGCTGCCCAAGAAGAGGAGGGGGAAACCCCAGGGAAGTCACCCAGCCAGGGCAGCACCCTCTGCCTGCATGGAGAGGGGTAGGGTGGAGGGAGGGTATTTACTGGGCAGCTGAGAGGAGACCTGGGGGTTCTGGGCATGAGTGTGGGGGGTCGTTATGGGAACTGCTAGCAAGTGGGAGGGGTTTGGCTGGGAAGGAGTCAGGGCTGGATTGTCCAGGCCAGGAAAGCCCCGTGGCCTGGACACCCCAATAAAGACTCCAGGACTGGCACAGCAGAGCTGGCATGACTGAGGTGCCAGTGGGGGGAGGAGAGGCAGTGGCTAGGAGTTCCTCCTGCACCTGGGATGGAACCCCGGGGACCTCATACAAGCAGGCACCTGCTCGACCCACCACTGGATCCAGCTCCTCAGGAGCTGACCCTCCCCCATGCCCCCGGGCCTCTCAGGGCACTCACCCAGAGCTGCCAGACTAGTCACCAAGAAGGGTGCAGGGGCAAATTGAGAAACCCCTCCCCACCCAAGAGCCCGTTCTTGTTCTCGAGGCCTTCTCCCAGGCCAGTGTGGCAAGGCTCCTGGGGTGACCTGGGACTTTAGTCCCTCCTGAGCAGCCATGGAGCCCCCCTGCCATGCCGGCACCCCACCTCACCCCCAGTCACATGGTCCCAGCCCGGCTCACCCTCCCTGGAGCTGCTTCCTTCTTTCACTTCTGCAAAGTAGGGGTGGGGGTGGCAGGCTGGGCTTGGGAAGGGCAGATATCCTCCACACCTTCATTCTGGGAAGTTTCCTGCCCCTCCCCCTCCCCAGCACCCACCCACCCACCCACCCACCCAAACAGACACACATACTTCCCAGGACCCTCCTGGGCCTGAAGGGTGCCCCCAGGGCTCTGGGCACCCTCCTAAGGACTCCAGCAGGCCCCTGCCCCCTCCGGAGGCCCTCCCCGCTCTGGCAAACAGCTGGAGCTCCCCCACGTCCCCTCAGGTGGTTAACTTCTGGGGAGGGGGCTGGGTGGCGGCGGCTGAGTCAGCCTGCCAGAGCCGGCTGGCTGGCGAGGCGGGGGCGGGGAGCGCACGTGGCAGGGGCGCCCCGGGGGGCGCGGGAGGTGGGGGGCGGGGGCCGCTCACTCACTTGGATGGGAGCCGTGCTGAAATGGATCTTCCGGCTCGGGGCCGGGTCCTCTTCCTCCGACAGCCCGGGGATCTCCACGCAGCTGGACTCGGGCTCGTAGGGGGCCTCCCCATCCTCGTCGTCGTCCTCGTCGTCGTCCTCCTCCAGGGCACTGCCCCCGGAGTCCTCCCCGAGCCCGCTGTAGGCGCTCACGTCCACCAGGTCCGCCTCCGAGAAGTCCTCCTTCCTGGACTCGTCCGCCTCCTCGGGGGCCACGTCCGGGGCCCGACCGTTGCCCAGCCCTCTCTCGGGCGCCGCGGCCGCCGCCTCCAGGGGGGCCGCCGGGACCTGGTGGGGCTCCTGGGGCGCCGCGGGGCTGCCGGCGGCGGCGGTTGCCAAGGCGCTGCCGTTCTCCAGGGCCGCGTGGACCGTCACCTCCGCCTGGATCACTTCCCCGGGCGCCGCCGCTGCCGCCTCGGCCTCCGACTCCCCGCTCTCCTCCACCTCCACGGGCTTGATCTTGCGCACCTCCCGGGGCTTGGGCGGGGGGCGGGCAGGGGCCACTCGGTGCTGCTGCGCGGGCTGCGGGCCCGCGGGGCCGCGCTCCTTCTCGGCGGCCGGGGCATCCCCCGACGGGGCGGGCGGCGGCGGCGGCGGCGGCGGCGGCTGGAACACCCGGGACCGCTTGCTGACCAGCTTGGAGTTGACCTGGGGCCCGCCGGCCGCCCCCCGGGGGAGGCCCGGGCCGCGGTGGAGGCCCGTGCGCGCGTCGGCCTTCTCGAAGACGGCGCTGAGCTGGCTGACGGTGGGCGACACGGCGTCGGCGTCCAGCTTGTCCAGCGCCTCGGTGCTGCCGTTGAAGCGCACCACCACGTCCAGCTTCCGGTCCTGCAGGCCGGCGCGCTCCTGCCGCAGCAGCCGCCGCGCCGCCGCCTCGCGCTCGCCGCCCGCACCCGCGCCCGCCGCACCCGCCGCCGCGGGCCCGCTGCGCTCGAACAGCTTCCGCGTCTCCTGCAGCCGCGACGGCGGGTGCGGCGGCGGCGCGGGCTGCGCCGAGGGCGCGGGCTTGGAGTCGAAGCGGCTCACGCGCTCCGACACGCTGGTGCCCAGCTTGAGCAGGGCGCTGTGGTCCACGTTCTCGTTGAGGCTGCTGGCCCGCGGCAGCGACAGGCGCACGCCGCCGCCGCGCTCGGAAGCCCGCGGGGCCTCGGGGGCACCCGCGCCCCCAGCGCCCCCAACGCCGCCGCCGCCGCCGCCCGCCTCGCCCGGCGGGCCCGCCGGCGTGCCCATCTGCAGGAACATACTTTTGATGCGGTGGACGTTGGAGCCATATTTCTTGTGGTGGGCCGCCTTGGGCGCCTCGTCGGGGGGCCCCGGCGCGTCGGGCGGCTTCAGCGCCTGGATGCCCGCCTCGTAGGCGCTGCGGTGCGGGGAGGCGCTCCGGAGGGGACCCCCGGGCCCCCGCGGCTCCGTCTTCATCATGATGGGGGGAGCCGGGTTCGCATCCCCCCGCGGCCCGCTCCCCCCGTCCACCCGGCGGCCGGCCAAGTCGGGACCACCGCCCCCTCCCCCCCAAAAAATAAGAAACCCCCCGAAAGGCCCTCCCCTGTTTTTTTTTTTTTTCAAAAAAAAGCTCCCCTTCCCAGCTGCCAAAAAACAGAATACCCCTGGCTCAAAAAATTATTTTCAATTTAAAATGGGGCTGCAAGAGGGGCCAAAAAAAAAAAAGATCGCGTGCCCTGTGCGGGTCGCCTCCCCCAACCGCGCTGCCCAGACAGCTCCCCGCTCGCCCCCTCCGGAGCTCCCCCACCCCCCAGCGGCCTGGTAACGGTCGCCCCCACCCCAACCGCGAGAGCGGCGGCCGGGCCGGTGGCGCGGCGAGCGCAGCCCGAGCAGGAGCAGCCGCGGCGGAGGCGGTGTCAGCGCGGCTGGCAGCCCCGGCGCCCCCCAGCGCGGCCGGCGGCCTTGGCGCTCGCGGGCCCCGGCACCCCGGCGCCCATGGCTGCTCGCCGAGCCCCGCCGCTCCGCCGCCGCCGCCGCCGCGCCTCCCTCCCTCCCTCCCTCCCCCCCGCGCCCCGAGCCTCGCTCTTTCTCCGGCTCTGCCCGAGCGGCGGCTGCCCGGCACCGCGCGCCTGCCCCGCTCGCCGCCGCCGCCGCCGCCGCCGCCGCCGCCGGGGGACTGGCACCTCTGGGTCCTAGAGGGATCGGATTTCCGGGGCCGGGGCCTGGGAGCCCTCCCCTTCCCCTCCGCCCCGCCGCGCCCGCGCCCGCAGCCTTCCGCTGACCCCCCCCAGCGGCCGCGGCTCGCGCTCCTCCAGGCCTCCCGGCTCAGCCTCCTTCGGCGGCTCCCGGCCCCCGGCCCCCGGCCCCGAGAAGTGGCTGGCGGGCACCGCGGACCACGGGGGTGGCCGTGCCGGCCCCGTCTCTCCGCCCCGAAAGGGACGGGGCATCACTGGGGAGGAGCGAGGGACGATGTCCTTGCAGTCCTTAGAGCCCCCGCCCCCCACCCCCCGCATCCCGCATCCACCCCCGAGGGTCGAGACCGCCACGGGCAGCCAGAGTCGCCGGGGACATTTCAGTGGGAAAACTCAGATTCCCGGGCCTCCCCCATCCCCCCACCCCAGCCCCCGACTTGGCGAAGGCGAAGTTCAGGGAGCAGGGCCCTGGCAGCTGCATTCAAGCTTCTCCTCGGAAGGCAACCCCCAAACGGTCTTGTGCTAAAGGTTAGAGGAGGAGAGATGGGGAATGGAGATGGCTCTCCCACTGCCAGGGGCCCCAAAGCTGCCTTGGGCCTTCTGCGGACTGGGGGACCCTGCCCCGTGCCTGCTCTGCCTGCAGGGGGGAAGTGGAACCCCAGTCTCCACTCCGCTCCTTAGGCTCCTAAGAATTCTGGAGCCTGGGGCCAAGTAGCAACCTCAAAGACTCTAAGCTGGGTCTCTAACCCAAAGGGTCTAGGGCCCTACAGCCTAGCAGGTAGGGAACTCGCCTTGCCTGTAGCCAACCCAGGTTCCATTCTGGCACCCCATATGGTCCCCAAAGCATGGCCAGGAGTAGTTCCTGACTGCAGAACCAGGAGTAATCCCTGAGCATCACCGGTTTGGCCCAGAAAAGGAGAAAAATATTAACAAATCAAAAATTTTTTAAAAAGAAAGGATTCAGGTCAGTGAGTGTGTGTGTGGGAGGGGGGGTGGAGTAGCAGGGGGTGACAATGACCTATACACCCCAACCTTGCACCCAGAAAACTCTTTTGAGGTGCACCCCCCCAACTCCACCTGCATGTTTTAGGGGGACTGGGACTGCCCTCAATCCCTCAGCAGGTCCTGGGGGTGAAGGTCCACGCTCCAGGATTTGACAGGTCCACATGCAGGGCCTCAGTCACGGATTCCAGAAAAAGATGAACATTGTGGACCCTAGGACCCAGTGAACAACTCAGGCACAAAGCCTCCCCCCCACTCCCAGCTGCTTCCTGCATCTCAGGCCTTCCCCAGGCCTCTGCCTCCTCCCCCTCCCTCTTCCCTTCCATCCTCTTCCTCTTCCCAGTCTCCCACACTCTACTGCTGCCCCTGGCCTAGGAGAGCTGTCAAAGGGAGTGCTCCCACCCCTCCTCTGTAGGAGTGTCTTGGCATTTGGTGGGGTATTAGCCCGTTAGCTATTGCAAAAGAACCTGAGAGATGGGGTGTGGGAAGCCGCCTGGGAACCCTGAATACTGGGGCAGGGAGGAGCCACGAGCCACAGTGGGACTGAATCCTGGAGCTGGTGATCCAGAAGCCAAGGGAGAGGGAAGATTTTGGAAACTGAACTGGAGCCGGAAATGAACCCAGACTTCAGGCTTTCTAAGGCCACTTGCTCCATGGCCTCACTGTGCTGGAAAACTTCTCCCTCCCAAGCTGTACGTTTTGCCATGGGAAAGAATGAAGATCACCTGCATCTTTCCTCTTTTCTTTCTTTTTATTTTGGAGGAGGGACCACACCTCGCGATACTCAGGAGTTACTCCTGGCTCTGCACTCAGAAATCACTCCGGCAGTGCTCAGGGACCAAACCTGTCCCTGGCATGTAAGGCAAGCATCTTACCCATTGTACTATAGGTCTGCTGCCCCATCTTCCCTCTTTTCTAATTCCTCTTAGGAGACTTCTTTCCGGAACAAGTTTTGGGACTCAGATCTGGACACAGACACACAGATTCACACACACACACACACACACACACACACAACACCCCCAATCCACTATGAATGTTGATTAGGATCAAAAAATTAAAATCTCACCTAGTTGGGGGTTGGGGCAGTGTCCTCAGAAGTTCTTGGTGGATTGGAGAAGAACGCAGGCCCCTGGGTATTGTGCCCAGAATCTCCCACACCCTTTGGTGAGTCATTTTAACTGGTCCCAGTCCAAGGGGTCTGTGCCCACGCTCCTGGCCAGGTGGGGAAGCCAGCTCCCGTGGGTGGGAGAGGAGCTGAGAGCCAGCTGTCAGGCCCAACGACCCTGGCACCCCCCTGAAACATCACCCGGAGCTGCTTGGAAGGAACTAGGATGACTGAGGTGCTGGCCTCTCGCTCTGAGAGCTCCCTGGGAGGGAAATCGCCTTAAAGTGGCTGGGAGCTTAAAGCTCTGGCTTGGATGGCTGAGGCTAGTGAGTGAGGTTATTAGTCCAGGACTATCCCCCAGCCCCGCCTCAGCCAGAAATGTCAGAAGGCGCTTTTAGTGGGACCAGGGAGACAGCTCAGAGGGCTGGAGAACATGCTTTGTATGCTGGAGCCCTGGGTTTGCTCCCTCACACCACAAAGTTCCACAAGCACCACTCGAAGTGACCCCCAAGCACTGGGCCAGGAGTTGCTCCTTTATTAGACTAACTTTTTCTCACCTCTCTCCTCCACTTTATTCCTGAGAACCCACCCATTCCCCATTCTTTTTTTTTTTTTTCCCCTTCGTCCTTGGTTGAGGTGGCCTGGCTGGCTAGCTTGCCTGGTGATCTTTGGAGTAGCTTCCTCACCTTTACCCTGGAAGAGAGAGGAGAGGGTGGTCCCCCTAGTAGAAGCAGGGTCTGGTTGCCAGAGCTCCTCCCAGCTCCTACCACTTGCTGGCTGTGTGACCTTGGACAAGTCCTGCAGCCTCTCTCTCTGGGTGCTTGGGTGGACGGCCTGGAACCCGGGAACACAGGAGAGAGGGGGCGTGGGAAGGAGCGGCTCTCTCTGAAAGGGCTTCAGAGAGCAAGAGATTATGGGCCCTGGCCCTCCTTCTGATAAAGTGCCTCCTGTGTTCCCACACTGCCCCCCAATCTGATGAGAGCCCTCTGGGACTGTTCCTGGAGGCTCTCTTAAACACCAGGTGCAACTGCAGAGATGGGTGATGAAGGCAGCGGGGTGTGGCCTGATCTGTGATAAACGCTTAGCGCCCAGGGCCTGTGCGGGCCTTGGCCACATGCCGAGGCTGGCTTCTCTTCCCAGCCTGGGGCCTTGAGACTCAGCCCTGCAGACGGCTCTTTCTGTGCCCAAGGTCCTCTGAGCAAGGCTCACCTCGGCCCTGCCCTGCGGCCCTTCTCTTTCACTCTTTTCTCTGCCCTCCTGGGCCTGGGGCTTGGCTGTGAGGAAGGCCACACATCTGGGATGTGATGCTGGAGGGGCCCAGTGAGCTCGCCTGGATGAGCCCTTCCCAGAGGGAAAGAGGAAGGCAGTGGAGAGAAGAGAGGCTAAGCCCTGAGGGAAGAGAGAGGCCAGGAGGGGGTCAAGGGATTGGTTTAGTGACACAAAGGTGCTATTTGAGATGACCTTGGGCAAGTCATTTGCCCTGAACAACTTTAGAAAGTACTGTTGGAATGTCTGAATATGTTGGCCTGAGCCCAGCATGACCCTTGGGGCCCACCACCACCTTGGGTGCAGAAGGGAGGCTCTGGAGCTGACCTTTGACCCTTGACCTTCATCAAAATCCACACCAAGCATTTTCCAGTCCCAGAGTCTCCACAGTCCTTCATCCAGAAAATAGATTTCATCCCCCAAGCCCATACTGTTCAGCAGAGTCACTGCATTCCGAAGGAACAGTGCCTGAGATAAAAGCGGAAGTTTGGGGTCACTGGTGGCACGGGTCATTAAACAAGGACACCTGTGCAAGTGTGGGGCAGGTGTGGCAGAAAAAAAAAACGAACTTTCCTCTGTGCACTTCTCCATTCAATCTTTTATTTATTTATTGCTTTTGGGTCATGCCCAGAGATGCTCAGGGGTTGCTCTTGGCTCTGCAGTCAGGAGTTACTCCTGGCAGTGCTCAGGGAACCATATGGGATGCTGGGGATTGAACCCAGATTGGCCGTGTGCAAGGCAAAGACCCTACCTACTCGAGGTACTGCTGCTCCAGCCTCGAGTTTTTGTTTGTTTGATTTTGGACTGCACCCAGCTGTACTCAGGGATGTTGGGCTGGGGGTGGGGAGACCATAAGGAATGCCCGGAATTAAACCCAGGTTAGCAGTGCCCTACCCTCTATCCTCTTTCTCCAGCTCCCCTCTCAGTTTATTTAGGACACTTTGGACTTCTCTTTTCCTGCAAGGCCAGGCAGGTGTGTGAAATGCAGGGATTCCCAGCCTGCAGCTCTTACAG